CGATCGTCTTTTCCAGCCGTCCCGGAAAAGAAAAAAAAGAATATGTAAGTGCATGCCGAAATAAACTCGTACGCGCTTTTATACATAAAATGGGTGAAAAAGGTAAATAACGTAAAGGCGATTTTTACAAAATGATTTTTGTTTTTTTTAAATTTTTTAACATTCATATCGGCAAAATAATAGATATATATAAATATAAGCATATAGAATTTTTTTATATTGTATATAATGCCATGGAAAATGGAGATGAAACAAAGTGTTTACTGGTGTCTTACGTGTAATAGTCGTTTAAGTGTTCTGGAAATCTTACTCTTCTTCCAGAACGCGCTGTTTTAATTTTATTTTCAGATACTGTTGAAGCATCATCGTGCATGTTGGCTATCGGATGAGGTATTATAAGTGTCCGAGTCGTGTCGTTCGATCGTAACGAAGGAAAATCGATGTAGATGAGATCTCCTTCTAAATAGGCTGCTTTGAGGTGATCGATGGTGATGCTATTGTTGGTTCCGTTCTTATCGATTATAAAGTACTTCGGTTCACGTTGAAGAACTTTGAAAGGTCCCTCGTATGCTGATTAGAAGGGTCGTCTATGCGAGTCTCGACGTACGAAGACGTGTGTACTATATCGTAAGTCAGGTTGAACGAAAACATCGGTTGATTGCGGTCGATTGGAAACAGGTTTAACTGAACGCATTGCGTTTGTAAGCCTGTCCATGTAGGAAGTTAGATCCATGTTCATTGAAGAGCATGAAGGATCCACGAATTCTCCTGGGAGTCAAAGTGTCGTTCCGGAAACGAGTTGAGCTGCAGTGTATCCAATGTCAGCTTTCACTGCATTGCGGATAAATAGTAAGACGAGTGGAAGAGCGTCATTCCACTGTGAAACGTTTGCAGCTGATACTGAAACCTTTAGTTGTCTGTGAAAGCGTTCTACCAACCCGTCTGCTTGTGGGTGGGAGGCGGTCGTCCGAAAGTGAGTGATTCCTAATAGTGTGGTCAGACAACGGAAAATTTCAAGTTCGAACTCGCATCCACGGTCTATTGTGATAGTTTAAGGGCAGCCGAGGTTCGCTACCCATCGTTCGACGAAGGCGCCGGCCACTGTTTAAACAGCAATGTCTTTGATAGGTACTGCTTCTGGCCATCGAGTGAAGCGTTCTACGCAAGTTAGTACATAATATTGTCCAGTTGAATCTGGTAAAGGTCCTACTAAATCCAGATGAACATGGTCGAAACGAGCATCGGGAGTCTTGACCGAGCCTACGGGACATTTATTGTGTCTAATAACCTTAGATTTTTGGCAGCTTGCACAGAAGCGTGCCCACTCCCTCACGTCTTCATTTTGTTATGAGCTTGATGGTTGCACGAACACCTGGATGAGAAAGTTTGTGGAGCGTATTGAAGACGTTGCATCGATAACGTTTCTATACGGTTAGGCGATCCCTACCTGTAAATGTGTCGCATAGTATGTTTTCCTTACCTGTTCCCATCAGTTTAATGCGCAGTTTAAGGGTTGTCGAGGATAACTCGTGCTGAAGATCAGCGTCTTCTTTTTGAAGCTAGGCGAGTTTAAGAAGGTTGATTCCGTGGAAACTGTTCAAGGAAATTACCCGAGAAAAGGCGTCTGCGACCACATTGATTGCGCCATAAATGTGTTGTATATCTGAAGTAAGCTGGGAAATGTGGTCCAGTTGTCGAGACTCACGAGGTGACTGTATTTCTGAAGAAGAGCTTCAAGAGAAGGTAAGCGGTTTATGGTCAATAAAAAGGGTAAATTCAAGACCTTAGATAGAGTGTTGAAAATGCCGTTCAGCCAAATACATAGCTAGGAGTTCCCTACCGAATGTGCTGTACCTCGATTCAGTGTCTGGCAACCGTCTCGAGAAAAATGCCAAAGGTTGCCAGAAGTGGTTAACCCATTGTCGTAAGACTCCTCCGATTGCTGAGTCGGATGCGTCTACTGGGTGTTCGAGTGTCCTGATGTGCGAGCATGGTTGCCTTTGTGATATGTTCCTTAACTGTGGAGAACGCTTTTCGCGCAGTATCGTCTAAATTGATGGATTTCGCATTTCTACGAAGTTGGTCTGTTAGCAGTTTCATAAGAGACGCGCATTTCGGTATCAACCGTCTGTAGAAACCTACAAGGCCGTTAAACGTGCGTAATTGCTTAACGGTGGTCGGTTCTGGGTAGTCTCGGATGGCCACAACTTTTCTTCTTAGAGGTCGGATGCGTTGCGCATCGATGGTGTGTCCCACGAAGTCTAAGGAGTCAGTTCCGATTTGACATTTCTGAATGTTTACAGTAGTGCCATGTTTTTGTAGTCGATCGAAAATAAGATCCAGATGCTTGAGATGCGATTCCCTTTCCGGACTTGCTGTCAAGCAGTCATCAACATACGCATGTACGAAGTTGAGACCTCGGAAAACGTCATCTATGAACCTTTGGAAAGTTTGGGCAGCGTTTCATAGACCGAAAAGCATCCGCGAAAATTCATAGTCTGAAAGGAGTTATGATGGCGGTTTTTAAAATGTCGTCGGTAACCATAGGGATCTGGTTATATGCTTTAACCAAGTCGATTTTCGAAAAGACAGTTGTACCCTTCAAGGTAGCTGTCAAGTCATGAATGTGAGGCAACGGGTAACGATCGGGAATGATTTTCGCATTCAACCGCCGATAGTCACCAGTTGGACGCCAATCGTTGCTGCCCGTTTTAGAGATCAAGTGCGAGAAAGATGCTCATGGGCTGTTTGACGGCCGAATGATTCCTCACTCTAACATGTGGTTGGATTGGCTTTTGACCAACCTTAGCTTTACGGGAGCCAGTCGACGCGCTTTCGAGAATACAGGTGGTCCTGTAGTCGTGATGCCATGTATAACATTGCTGGTTACACACGGCAGTTTTGATTGCGGTTGGTATATTTCAGGGTGCTTATCGAATATTCATTGATAGAATGGGTCTATCGTGTGCTTAACGGTGACTGGAGATAATCTACAAACAGAAAAAGAAGTTACGCAAACAGATAAATTAGTGTTTCTGTCTAGTAGCCTCCGTTTGCACGTATCGATGAGTAGATTGTGGTGTTGTAGCAGGTATATACCAATGATTGGTTTAGAAACATCTGCAACAACAAAAATCCCGTGAATGGTTTTGCGTAAACCCATGTTAAGATAAACGTACCTTTTACTATATGTGGCGATTGGCTTTCAGTTTGCTGCCTGTAAGTTTAAAACCGACTCGTGAAGCCGGTCGTTAGAATTTGCTGGAAGGACGATAACGTCTGCGTCAGTATCGACGAGGTAGCGAACTTTCGTTATCACACCTGTGACGTATAACAGACAGCTGTGTTTGCCGGCGACGGTTGCCGTTAATGCGTGCCAGCTGGGAAGTTTCCTGAATTGTTTTTCGTGTCGGTGGATTTTGAGTTCGGAAAATTTTAGGATTTTCCGCAATTTCTGGAAGACTTTCCATACTGGTCATGATACCAGCACCAGTCGGAGTTATTCGTCTCTCGTGGTCTAGAGACATATCGCTTACATGAAGTGCTCCTGCGCGGGATTCGTGACCGTATACTGTCATTACTTAATCTAAGATAGCGTGTGTGTGTGACATGATTCTGTAATGTCATTCTTAGTCGTTCGAGGCTTTCCTTTGACTGAAAAACCTCGACGAGATTTGGTGATTTCTAAGATGCGGTCGGCACATGCAGTCAGCTCGTCTACGGCGTTTTTTGAAACGAGACAAGCACAGATTGCATCAGTTGAGGAAGTTTTGATAGGAAAATTTGTCTGAATAGGCCATCGTCGAAGGTTATTTTGGCCAATCACCTCTCTCATTCTTAGCAACATATCTGACGCAGAACCGTGTCGCAGGTCGATATTATTAAGGAGTTGATCTAACCATTGTCGATCGGTTAGGTATCCGCGTTTAAGGATATAACGTTCCAGTGTTTCGTAAGGTTCAGAAACATCACGAGTAAACATACTAGGTGTTACGTACCTGTTGAATTCTCACGGTAATGCCTTGACTACTGAGGGGAATCGTGCACGTGTGTCGTTCACGCCGTGCTCGTAAACGTCGGCTTGTGCGTAGCAGAACCAGGTTTCCATGTTGTCCGGCCAGAATAGAATTAGTTGAAAGGAAGGTGGGGACACAGTCTTTAACTAGTGTACCTGGGTGTGTGTTCCGTCTTGGCGAAATATCAAGTACGAGAATGAACGAGAAATATATATATATATCCAAAACTCGAAAAATATTGCAATATATAAAAATTAAAATGAAACAATGAGTTATGAAATTCCGAAAGGGAATAGATACACAGTTTGCAACTTGGTGTATTAGATCACGTCGGGCTCACCAATGAAGATGCCACAGCTATTCGGAGTTTGAAAACGCTTTAACCAGTAACACCTATTATGAATCAAATCCATCAAGTCAAATCAAAAGACAGAAGCGATGATGTTCGAAGATATATTTGTTAAGCTATTAATATATCGGGGATCGTCTGATCTAATCTGGCTAGCTATTTCAGGGGTTGTTGAGCAAGGCGTTCTCACTCCTGATCTGGTGCGAAGCATGACCGAGAGCCTTTAGCTAGGTGAGTCCACTAAAACATGTGGTCAGCACCCAATGTCGAAAACGTACAGAGCTATTTATTTTGGGGATTTATTTACCGCTACAACACTAATGAAGTCAGCATTGATGTTGAAGACTGACAGAATTACTTATTCTGGAGACTTATTTACAACTGCATACTAGTCATTCTTGAGGATATTCAAAAGATGCTTGGATTCAGCGACTGAACAAACTGGGAACGGGACTGTTTTTCTCATCTAGTGCTCAGTTATTGTAACTCATTATCCAAATAAACGATATCAGCATATTGACGGACGATTTTTAAGAGAAACTGGATCTTCACCGCAACGAATATGAAGGATTTAAAGCGGTCGATAGCCGTTCTGTGCTCTCAACTAAGACTGGGTGGAAATCCTGAGACCTCTCAAGGCGCTGGTTTCAAGTTTAAGGTCACAGGCATGTCATCGCTTTGGCCTTGGTCTTCCTGTTATTTCCCTCCCTTAGGGGTTACGATGTTAGCTAGTTCCGACGGAACAGTGCGCGTTTATAATGGTCAGACTGGTTTTCTTGATAAAGAGACAAATTTAGTCACTAGCTCGGTTGATAATTGTATGTGTGGATATTAATTATGCTTATTTTTAGGTTCACGTATATCCCTTGGTTATTTTCCTTCAAATGAACGTTTAGTAATTACGAGAGAAACCGAAATTAACTCGAGAACCCACTCAAATGGATCTGTCCTGCTTCATGGCTTTCTTGATAAACGCATTCAAAATAAAACTGATAAGATCAGTCTTGAATTTTACTCAAATCAGGGCTCTCTTATAGAACTATTTCTTTCCACTGTTGAAAGTTTGTACACTGATTATGGAAGTTTGGTTATAAACACTCATAACTGTCCTAATCCTAAGGTACTTCAGTTTAATGACTTTATGTTTTAGTGGAAAACGTTTACCATTTATGGTAGTTATGAAATGTTGTATAGTTCATTCGATAAGCTACAGCACAGTAGTGCGAACAAAGGCGTGCTTCTGACTGCCCCACTGTTGAAGTCAATTCTGTATCGATTAACACGAGCTGTAACGGATAGTGACAGTATTTTGATTTTTACGGCTATGCGAGAACCGTTCACTATGCAAAGTGAAGCCCATAGACGCCTTACATTTACTCACTGGCCTCATATGGATTATCAGTAAGTTGGGTCTTTTTTTTAAAAGGCGTCCTTTCATTTAATAATACAGTCAATTCACACTGAAGTGATGCTATATCTAAAAATCTCGATCTTGGTATTATAATTGTGAATGCAGTAATCAAACCATATCAACACCTGCATTCTCTTGTTTTAGTCCGTCTTAAATTGCTATGTATTGTGTCTTGACCATTCTAAAAATACGTAAATGCAACCTGAACTGAAATTTGAGTACAAAGAAAGCTTTGTTGAGTATGATGTATATATCGTAAAACAGTGTAACTGACTTACCAAGTACCATTTCGTGTAGTCGGTCCTAATGTTAAGAGCTAGTAACGCTACGTTAATACATAAACGAAAGTATACAGGCCATTCAAACCTGCCTCCTGTTGTTGAATAGCTGATTTCCTTAATCACTGGGCTTCTACAATGTATTATCAGAAGTCGAATACTAGAGTTATGGTTCCGATTTTCTGTCATCCTGAAGTCTGTAGAAAACCGCTCCTTAAACTTGACGTTAAGCCTGCCATGGTGGTTCAGAATAATTCCCTGTGGGTATTTTCTTATCAGCTCATGTAGAATAAGAAGTTTACTAGTTGTATTTGTTTCAAAGGGTTTAGGATGATTCTACTCAAGTGACTGTACATTAACTTAAGAGGACTTCACTTCGGTTTTGTAGAATGTCAGTAGGAGAATAGTTTTTGTAACTAAAGATCCATTTATTAATAGTGCATTAAAGGTACAATAGTAATTCCAATTGTGTTGGACTTTATTTTCAGATGGGCAACGCCTTCCACTTTGTCTGAAGCTGGATTTTACTTCCCATTTAAGTTCCCACTTGACATTGTATTTTGTCTTGAATGTTTAGTTAGATTGTCATCTTGGGAACCAACTGATGAGCCATGGAGCGAACATATCAGACATTCACCTCAATGCAGCTTTGTGTCATCTCCAAATTCGAAAAGCATACCTAGCACATGTAAGTATTTAATTTTGAATAGCGGGGTTTAGTCAATACTCGATTTTTTTCACCGTTATATAAATATACTATTGCATACAGTCTGAACATAAACGTTGGAATCCTTAGGGAATTAGTTTATTGAATTGATGAAGGCAGTTCAGTAACCAAGTACAGGTTAATGTCACTCTTTACATAAGTGTCTGTAATACTATCTGGTTGAACAAATTGTAGTGTGGCCCCAAGTGCAAACTGATGAAACAGCCTATTAGACTTCCACATGTATTATCCACTCTTTATTTATATCTTCAAGTATTGTTTTTATTTTCTCAATTCACTTTCTTGTTCGTTTTAATATCGTCGTTTTCTCTGGCTCTCTTTCTATGGTATTTTAATGTGTGAAAAACCAAACCAATACTTATTGTGACGTTCTAGAACCTACTATTTGCGAGATGAGGAGTTAGCCCCCATAGGTGTTTTAAACCTAGTAGTTCGAATCTTATACTCAGAAACAGGCTTCAATGTCCTTTAATTGTCTGAGGGCAGGGAATAGCTACTCTTGAGAAATTATCATACTCCTGTGCTTTCACAGCTTCCAATGATATCCTACTCTCCTATCGCGAAAATCAGAGGATGAACCAAAAGTTCTGGTGTTTAAACAGTGTCTTTGTTTGCGAAAGATTCATGAAAAGCCAAACTAATAGTAAACATGAGTCCTACTATCTTGAGGGAAGTAGTAGAATATAAACTTAATTTGTTCTCCCACTATCATTAAAAAGCAAGTTCGGTAATTTTTTCCTAATTTTGTTGACTGCATGTAGACTGATAAATAGCTGCATGTATGCACTCCACCTGGCGGTTACTTGTACATCTCGTATGACATGGGAATTCAGTTGAGCCATTGTTCATGTTTGCTCTCTAACGTGAGGATATTTGACAATTTTCTGTTAAATCATCACTTTTCAAAAGATTAACTTTTTCAGCAGCAACATAGTATACGGTCTGGCACCATATGTACATGTAATAGAACGTTACTGATTACATGGTACTGTTATGTGAACCATAACAATTTTTCACATGTTCTAGACAAAATGTACAGACTATCATCAGTTCGAATAATTGTTTTATCACGTATATTCTATTGTTACCGTTGTTTATTCCTGCAAATGGTATTGCATATGTTACCTAAGTAAGTTGGGTTTGTTTTTCAGTTTCATGGTCAACAGAAACAGCACAAACTCATTCAATATCCAATGATCCTGTAAGTTTAAGTTTTCAATGAATTTCATTAGTCCTTACCTGTTTTTTAACCATCATCATCTTGAAACTTTTGTGGAGATCCCCTTACTATTTCAAGACGAATATTACGGAGCTTTTAATAGTATTTCACATGCAGATATTAGAAAAGCTATGAAAGCATCGAAAATAACGTAAGCATAAGAGCTTTGAAACATTTCACCTATTGGCTAAAAGTAGTGGTATGGTGTACGCTACTTATATACACATAAGTAGTATATAACGATAGTCAGGAATAGAATGTATTTCAGCAAAAGATCGAGAAGGAAAGAACGGAAACGGAAAGCAATTGGTATGAAAATGCAGGAACAATGAAATCCGAGACAATCGATTGATGTTTTGCAAATTAAGTATTTACTGTATTGTTCTCAGATTTTATTGAGATACTCCATAATTTCGTGTTCAAATACATTCGATTGTCCTCACTCGTGTTCTTGTTCACTACAGTATTTGTCAACCAGTTGACTAAATAATAATTTTATCTACATATTAGGCAGTTTTAGCTTTAGTCTTTTTATTTATAGGATTGTTTACCTTTACTTTTAAATTAGTTAGTCAGTTGTAAGAAACTTTCAGGTGTTCCATTCATAGCATCGTATATTATTTTAAAATATAATTACTGTTTTCAAAAATAGTTATTCCATCGATATTAACTGTAAATTGTGAATTATTTGTCGGTTTTACGACTGGAGATCACTTTGTATCTTACTTATTGTTTTAATGTACATAAATTCTAGTGCAGTCGTGCAAGGAAAATGCATATATCATAAATGAAACGATAAAATTGTGCAAAAATAAAGGATAGGAAAGTGACATAATCACTAAAATAATGAGTAGAAATAATATTTACTAAGAGATACAGTTTATTTAAAAACACTAAAATGATATTATTACTGTTTTGATGTATTATTGAAGACTCCAACAAGATCACCATTGGCTTCTATTTTGATTCGTATCTGATAACGTCTCAAGTCACTGAGTTCCATTATCTATGGAGCCTTATCCAACGAGTCCTATGGAGCTTCGTTTTGCACTGCGATGCGATTTCGTAAACTAACTACCTTTGCATTTTTCACCCACTGTCAGCGTCGGGAATCGAATCGCAGTGCGAAAGTTTTTGGGATGATCTTTGTAAAATATCACTACACTACCGAAGTCAGCTTTTCAAAATGGTGACTGGTTGAATTATTGTCACTGCCTCTATATATACACATCACCAAACCTCAGTATTACTAGTGCAGGGTTTTCTTGGTTGAACACAAAGTCGCCACACATTGTTACCATGGATAGGCCAGGTTTCACAAACATATAGTGGAACTGTTTTTACGAATGTGTTGTGCAGCAGACCTTTTACAGCTAAACTAACATCAGAGCAACACCAAAGATGGTCCAAAATGACATATGCCGCTAATATAACTTTGAACGGTTTGTAATATGGTGATGATATAACAACATCGTAGTTATGACTATTTTATTTGAAGTAATTAAAGACAGTTTGAATCTGTTAACTGAGGCTTCGTGCTAGTTAGTACTCATCAGCAAGGTTACAGCTTGTAACTTTCATGTGCGATTCTTGTTTTGGTTTTGGTTCATTTTTGTAGGGATGAAGTTATTTTTAAGTTTATATAAAGAGAATTTTTCGAATAAATTTTTATTTTTGTCAGTTGTATGTTTTCTTTATTGCGTTCTAAATAATTCAGATCATGGTGCTTACAGCTTCTACATCAAAAGATTTTGTCGCAACTTCAACAGTCGATGGTGGGATTACTGTTTGGGATCTGTCGTACTTCAACAGAGTAAGCTATTTCATCTCCTAAACCATCAAGTGCGTTCGCGAAATGGGACAATAAAAAATCACCTCTTATTAAAGTTTGGTTGTGTCGAACTCATTAGTAAATTAAGTGAACATATAGAGGCTGAATTAATGTCACTGTCAATTTGGGGTGTTCTATAAGCGCTGGTTTGATGTTCTTTCGAACGCATGTATTGGATTCTATTATTTACAACGTAGCAGTAGTTTATTCGTCGAAACATTCAACTTTTAATTATGTTGCATAGATTCGAACTCTACTCCTCCTACTTCAGTTTTAGGAAGTCGTTTAGTATGACTGACTCTCATATGCGAAAGAAGCGACTTATAATGTTAAGTGGTTGAAGGTAGTCTTCAAGAAACCTATGTTTCTTGCTAGTCATGGCTCTTTAGCGAGGCGTATCTGGAGTCTCAATGAAAGTAATTCTCTCTGTGGGTTTCACACTCGTGCCACTAAACTTCACAATCTGAGACAACATAGTGCACTCTATGTCTAGCCGCTTAAGTGTCTATAGAACAACATCAGCACTAAAGGATTGGATAAATATCAGAAGGGGTTTTGTGGATATTATTGACTCATGATCTCAACTATTAAGATTGGACAAATATCACACTGGTCACTACTTAGTAGTAAATTCAATGTACGTGTAACTTGAAAAACCCATTAAGTACACGAATTTGTTCAATCGGTTACTGAATTTCATCAAACTACTCAAATTAAACCATTGCCAATAATAATACTTAATGGTAAATCAAATGAAATGTTTCGTCAGTCATCTATATTTCTATGATAATTTATTATCATGTCTATATTCTTATTATCACTGTTATCTTATGTCATAAATTTTCAATGCCTCTGTTCTGAAAATCTCCCAGCGTTCATTAGAATTCAATCTTGTGGATGTATTGAATGCTTCGATAGTTACTACTACTACTACTACTACTACTACCAGTGAAAGTAAGTTAGGTGTATTGCGTTTTTTCCACTAAAAATAATCATTCATATTTGCAAAATGTAAGAAAAACAAGTGTTCAATGCATTTATATTGTAACGTTTAGTCTAAGTTAGGTCTATGTCTAGTTTGATGGCATGTTAATTGTCTAGGGAGTGTGAAGAGTATTGTGTTCAGGATGGCTTGGAAGAGGTAAGAATAAAGAAAAGTAAACTGATGACTCAGCACGTAAAATGTATTTATGTTGAATATTGAAAGCTAGCGATAATGTTTAGTTACAACACAAGTGTATGATAATTACAGTCAGATAATCGAAAGTAGGTGATGGTGTGAGATTTTAAATATGTTGCAAAATATTAAGCAGAAATGGATGGTGGCTAGCAGTGAAATCCAGGACGCCCGTTTCGTTGGGACTTGTCAGCTGAATGTATCTGCATCCCAGAGTTGTGTTCACTCCGAGAGTCAAACCTAGTACCATACACTCCAGTCCCAAACATCAACGAGAATATCCAAACAAAATATATTTTAGGTCATACTAGTCCTGTTTATTATAACTTACCTTCTATATTAAACACACGTTAGTATCAGACTGTATTTGTCACATGCTATAAAGCGATAGATCGTAAACTTTTCATATACGCGCTTTCATAGGTTATGTGATTGATAGAAATCATAATGTGTTAAGACAAAATAAAAAAAAAGATACCGTTAAGCTATTCGGGCTGCCATGCAGAAGGCTGTACATGCTTGTGGAGGTAACCTGCCATTGACAGAGCCATTTTAGTGCACCGCCCGTCTGCCAACCCTTGGAGAAACAGTTTTAGCACCAGGGTTGGATTTATGGACAGGAGCTGATCTGTTCAATGCAGGAGGAAGGCGGTACAACTCCAGGTAGACCTGAAAACTAATGGCTATTGATTAAGGGAGATGTTAAGGTACCTGTACCCCTTAATACAACATGCGAGAAAGAATGTCAACCTTATTTTTGGATACCAACTTAGCTTAATTTCTTCTCACCCAAATCAACACATTTTCGTGAACTCTATTCATTAACTTTCAGCGTATTTCAGTTGTATTTTTCTATTTAATTCTGGGTAAATTTTCTTCTTAGCGGTTATTTTACTATGGTTTTGTATTCTTTGGGTTCGTAAAACTGTAATTAGTAGTCACAACTGATATATAACTGAATTAACCTAGATGTAAATTCAGTCTTCTTTGGTCTTGTCCAATAATTGTTCCTAACAAGATTGGTTATTTGGAGTAACTGGGGTGTTAGGAGCGAATCGAACTGTCATATATAGTGTCACAGTTGTCGTTCGAGTTATTACTGCATATCTTCCATCTCTAACTAATTACTTAACCGTTGAGTAGTGACCAATCAATTGCAAATTTAAATCTGTTGTAAAGATTTCATTGATCAGTGGATGTTGTACATTGGTACGATATGTCCCATTGATAGATATTCACAATATCCACTTATTGACTAAAATCCTGAATGAACTAATGCCGAAAGACTGTACAACTAACTTATAAAATAAGTTTTTTCTCCATGGAAATAACATGCTTAAATACAAAGTATTGTTTATCAAAGTAAACATCACTGGATATTATTTAGCAAATAAGCAACCAGAGGGTATAAGTTCTATAGGTCACTCGCGTACCTATAAAGTTTACTGTTAGGTTTAAATTTTTTTCATCTTCGTAAATGAAGTGATGTTTATTTATTTTATTATTTATTTATTTTAACACATAGATATTGGTACAAGAAGGCACCAAATAGATATGCGCCACATAAATCATTCGATTTGTGTGAGGGCTGTGATACTGTCCGGGTGCCCAGACCGAAGCAGGTGGTTTTCTTAGGGGGCCACACCCCGAGCCTTTGATCTAAAGGTATAACCCACAAGGCAGTGGCGCATTGTGAGGAGATGCAGTCCCATGGAAGCCGGTCACCAACAATTGGTTCATACGCCATTTGTTCCCATAGGATACTGAAGCCCATGTACACCATTGGTTCGGAATCCGGTTAAAGCGCCAGACATTCGCTTTTCGTCCTCTGAATTTCGTAAAAAACAGCAATGCCACAAGAAAGCGGTGAGTAAGACTTCCCTGGCAGAGGCTGTATACGCGTGGCCGTGTGAGAGCATTTCGAGAGGGAGGGAGGGCCCACCTCACTCTCGGCCAGACCAGGGCATTTGGGGGCAAAGTGATGTTTATGAATAAAAAAATATGTATAGGAGAAATAAACAGTATTTTTTTGTATTTGATTATCATATCATTGTTTATATCATGTAAATACAATTTCTTCTTTCTATACCTAAACTAGTGATTACTAAATCTCAACTACAAGTACATAGTGGATGTCTACTAGTTTCTAATTCTTCTAACATGAAATTCATCAATCTTCCACAACTTCCTAAAATACATCATTTAATTCTTGGTTGTTGTTTACCATATTCAGTATATAATAAATTACACTCTTGTATGCATACCATGTCAACAACTAATAAATTTGAGAATGTTAAAAATAACAATTTTAAAAAATATCAACTATGCCTTATCATTATTGAATTAACTCCATTGAACAGTGAACAAGTTATGTGGATAGCTGATTCTACTTTCTCTTCAACAACAACAACAACAACGCCATTTTCTCCTAAATCGATATTTCCTAATCAATTCAATATACATTCAATACCGATAGATCTTGTCAAGTTTCTTCCATCAATTGGTTATGATCATAATAATAATGATGACGATACAATAGAATATGAAGAATTAGGAGATATTGATGATAATGAGAACGAAACTGATAATGATGATTATGAAGATGACTTTGATGAGGAGAGTTCTGACAAGTTAAGTAGCGTACATATAAATAATATCATAACTGATTCAGCACCCAAAGATAATATTTCAACATCATCAGTCAATTCAAAGGTAGTCAACTTTTCAATAAAATATATTTATTGTTTTCTGAAAAACATTTAAATTTATGATCGAAATTTCGGTTGTTATCTGAAACACTTTCAGTGTTCAGTGAGCATGTTTATGTCCAGCATTCCTGACCATTTTTCTTTCATTTAACTGATGAGCGATGCATGTAAAACTGTACTATTCATCATTCTAGATTCCGTTTCAAACTAACTTGCATGGTATTTTTTGTTTTCCATCCAGCTTATTTGAGTACGTTACACTGACATGTTCATAGCAGATAGTCGGAGATAACTCTATCCATTTGAAATAAATTGTTTGGTAAACATAACACACCAATATGCAGTCCTCGCCCAAAAATCTGTACCGGATGTAACACATTTATTAAACATTGCGAACACAACAGACAACCTTATGAATTTGGTTAAAATAGTGCGTCTTTCAAAGTTATTTAATGAAGTTTAACTAAACTAAAACTGTCAAAATACATTTGAAGAAATTCTATTGTAACAAAAGATAAACAAACAAGTGTTTTAAAGAGAGCAAGAACGAAGATTAGTGTAGTATTGTCAGTAGGCGATTCAATGACTTTAGTGGCTGCACCAATGTTCGTTCTTGCTCTCTTTAAGATGATAAAGGGAACTATGTGTATGAAACAAATGTTTGTATAATCTAGGTTAATGATGTTCAAATACGTCTCGTCTTATCTTAGGATTTCAAATAAGTCAAGAGATCCTTTAAAAATCTGTGTAAAAATAACGAAAGGTGAGATGATTTGAAGTTATTTTGAAAAACATGACACTATATATCAAATTTAAGAAAAAGTGGCCTTCGAAATTGTTGGGATATTCAGGAAAATATCCCAGAAATTATTCTATTAAGTCTAATGCTATTCTTGGACTTCGAGATGGTATTATTTACTTATTGGTCAGTACTTATTTCACGTGTCCTTTTCCTACTGGTTAATATTGTACAATGTTATTTTCTATTTTATCGTACGATGTGGTCTACTTGACTGGTATATAAACAAAGTATGTTTGAAATATAATGATTCATAACTCAGAGGCTGTGACTTGCGTTCTGGACTTAACTGGCTGGGCTAGACAGGGAAGCGGGGTCAATCAGAACCCTAGGTCGTTCTACGTGTTTGCGCGTCTTTGGTCCGATCAATAATTCGCTAACCCTTAATCAGCAGCATTTTTCACGTTATAACAGAAATCGTAATCGATTTATTATTTAAGCACTTTGAGAAACTTAACTAGATTCATTTTTAGATAATAAGTAGATAAAGCATCTTATAGGAATCTGATTTTAAGATTTCACTGAACATACGCAACTTAATGGTTAAAAGTCAAGTATTTTAATCTTTATTCAATTACCATTCTACGTTCTTAATCTAGCCATTCTATGGTTTGTTGTTAATGCTGGCTTCACATATCTTGTAAATCTTTACTCCTCTTTTTTTCGTATACATAATTAGTAAACATATCACATAACCCTTGTAGTTATTTCATGAAATGATTAGTATATCTTATATTTTCAATATTGTTTGTTTTCTTTACTTTGATTACAATAGCTTATCGAGAATGATTTTTATACGTATATTGGTTTGTCTAGCGTTGTTGAAGAGTTTGTAAATTTAAAAGCTACGACGGACTGTTATCACACATCTTCAAGCAATAAATTACAACTAAAGAAAATATCTGCTTCAAGTTCATCCAATTTGTCGTCATCAATAAAGTACATTGAAAATAAACGATCTAATATGAATGAAACAACCAGTTCATTTCTATGCTCTGACTATTCTGAAAATAAAAATGGTAAGAGTGGATGTGTTGAGAACTTACCGAAACTTGTTGGTGTCATACCTTTGTCAGTTACTGCTGACAGTACTAATAATGACCTTGAAAATCCTAATTTTCGTATTTTACAAATATCACCACTACCATTGCAAACAATATCCTTCAATAATGGTAATTCCGCTTATTCTCAAGGTATACTTGTTTGTTGTGGCTTGTCAAGATCATTATCTCATGTAAAGCTTCATCATAAAACAACTACTGATAATCAATCGATTGAGGATGGTGATTTATTTTTATTCGGGTAAGTTTTAGTTATTCTGTCATTTATTTTTATCGAATCCATCTAATAAATACGTGAAACTGATTTATAAATACTTCATATAAACTACAGTGCATAAATAAGTCTTGTTTTATTTACAGTACTCTGCATTTGGGACAATAAACTTATTCTATTTCCATGTCATCTTTTTTGCAAGACATACACTCCTGAAAGTTATCACAATTCAAGTACTAGTTTGGACGTGTGTTATGTACACTCCCTGACCCACCATCCTTAACGCCCAACAAGTGATTTTAACCGGTGTACGAGTAGGTTGGAAGAAGGTTATAGGTGACCAACTCTTATTATCTATGCTCCCATATTCGATTTCTTCACTGTTAATGTTTTTAAGCTCATCTCCTTGTACCAATGTAATATGGGTACGTGAACAAACGCTTACTCATGCCCATGCTATACGTTGATTATGCCTGACTGATTAAATTTAGATCCCCGATTGCTTCTCAGTTATTTAAAATCATGTCCACAAAGAAAGCTATTATATTGTAAATGCTAGTTAACACTCATTATTTTTAATCCTGATTAATAATACAGTTTCGTCATTTAGGTATTCGGTAAAAAAATTATGCCCCTAAATGCCCTGGTTCGACCGAGTGTGGGGATAATCCGCTCTCTCTCTCTCTCTCTCCTTCGAAGTACTCTCACATAGCCACATACGTACAACCACTTCCAGGAAAGTCCTGCTCACTGCCTCCTCTCGGCGGGGGTATTGTTTACGAAATCCAAAGGACAAAAAGCAAATGTCTGGCGCTTTAACCGGGTTGGTGGATATGGAGGATCCACCTAGGGGGATTGGAAAACTCTGATTCCAAATCAATGATGCACATGGGCTCCAGGGTGATGAAGGAACAAATGGCGTATGAACCTATTGTTCGTCTCTGGCTACCATGGGACTGCATCTCCTGACGTTGCTCCATTGCCTTATAGATCAGACCTTTAGGTTAAAGGCTCCCGAAGTTGCCCTCTGAGGAACCCATCTGCTTCAGTTTGGGCATCTGGTCAGTATTCCAGCCCTCACATAATTCAGATGGCGAAGTGTGGTGCACATATATTTGGTGCCTCCTTGTACCACTGTTTATGTGTTTAAATAAATAAATGAAATTGTATCGTTTTTCTTTTAAAATTTTTAGATATAATGAAAATGACTGTATTCTACCTAATTCAGTTGGTTATCACTTAGTTATTGATGAAACTCCACTTTTGCACATTAAATTGCCTGATCACTATTGTCCTGTTCAAATGGATGTGGTATCCAGCACTAATGATCTACATGTTTGTTCTTTAAATACTTTATACCCTTCAGTTAAATTACAATATGAATGTGGACAATCATGTTTAGCTGTCAACAATACTACTTCTACTACTACCACTAATAATAATTTAAAGTTTACCATAGACTCACCTTTAATTACCATAGGAACATATGACTTATCATTTTGTTGTTTCATATTAACAGTATACAATTCATTGTTACAAATAAATGTTTATAAAAATCTATTATGTTATGCTCAAATAATAATATCTAATCCAATCTTATCAGTTAATGAAGATAACAATAATAATGAAATAAATAACAACAATATGTATTGTAATATACAATTTGATACATTCACATATTGTACTGGTTTAGAAAATATATGTTTAGGCACTGTAAATGGTGAAATGTACATCTATCAATTACATAATCATGAATTATTTAAATATGATATGAATAAACAAAAACGTATTCATTTATATAATTCAATATTACCAATTCATCATAATGTTGATGAATCTTCTGATGAGAAAATTGAATTATTCTTTCCTATTCATAATCATAATAGTAGTCATAGTAATAATGGTTATTCATTAAGTAATCTATATGCCTATTATAATTGTCCATTAGACCAATGTTTTATTTTATATCAACTTATTAAAACTATTCCATTAGATTCATTAATTCAAGTGAATTTTCCAAATCAAATTGGTTGGTATGAAGTGGAACTTTTTCCATTATTATCTTCTTCTACAATAAAACCTACAACATATAATTCTTTTAATGAAGAAACATTCATTCATAATGATAATAATAATAATAATACAATTCAAATACTTTCTAAATTAGTTACACGTTATATACAATTAGAAAAAGAATCATTTAAGAAATCAAAATTAACTAATGATATATTATATAATATTTCAGTAATGTTAAAATGTGCTACATTAGCTGTTCAACTTAGTTTATCATCTAATATATCTACTCATTTATGGGAATTTAATACTAAAAATTGGTATGATTATCAAAATTTAATGAAACAAAATATTGATAAATTGAATATGAATTCAATTAATAAAAATATCATACATAATGATTATGTAATGTTAAATTCTCAGAATATATTATCTGAATATCTATTAGAGATTAGTTTACCACGAGTATATTTAATTTCACATTTTATATTTCATTCAACATTAAAACAGTATGATGTAAGTGATTATGATTATTATTATTGGGCCCAATATTGAAGTGTGAATCTCTTCAAATGTTGGGTTTTTTTTTGTAAATATGCATGTGGTAACCAACTACTTGATAAGTTACGAACAGATAAACTATCCGAACACAAATTTTATTTATTTATTTATTTGAACACATGCCTCTGAATGCCCTGGTACGGCTGAGAGTGGGGTGGGCCCGCCCTCCCTCTCAAAATGCTCTCACACGGCCACGCGTATACAGCCTCTGCCAGAGAAGTCCTACTCACTGCCTTCTCGTGGAGGGGGTGTTGTTTACGAAAATGAGAGGACGAAAAGCGAATGTCCGACGCTTTAACCGGATTCCAAACCAATGGTGCACATGGGCTCCAGGATCCTGAAGGGATAAATGGCGTATGAACCAATTGTTGGTGACCGGCTACCATGGGACTGCATCTCCTTACGATCCTCCACTGCCTTGTGGGTTAAACCTTCAGGTCGAAGGCTTGGGGAGTGGCCACCTAAGAAAATCACTTGCTTCGGTTTGGGCACCCGGGCAGTATCACAGCCCTCACACATATCAAATGAGATCTATGTGGCGCATATCTATTTGGTGCTTCCTTGTACCAATATCTATGTGTTAAAATAAATAAATAATTTTGAACGCATAGATATTGGTACAAGAAGTCACCAGATACATATGATTTGTGTGAGGGCTGGGATACTGCCCGGGTTCCCAGACCGAAGCAGATGGTTTCTTTAGGGTGCTACACCCGGAGCCTTCGACATAAAGGTCTGATCTACAAGGCAATAGAGCATCGTGAGGAGATGTGATCCCATAGTAGCCGATGACCAACGATTGGTTCATACGCCATTTGTTTCCTTAGGATCTTGCAGCCCATGTAAACCATTGGTTTGGAATCCGGGTTTTCCAACTCTCCTAGGTGGACTCTCCGTGTCCATCAACTCGGTTCAAGCGCCAGACATTCGCTTTTCGTCCTCTCAATTTCATAAACAACACCCTCGCCACGAGAAGGTAATGAGTAGGACTTCCCTGGCAGAGGATACATACGCGTGGCCATGTGAGAGCATTTGGAGAGGGAGAGCGGACTCTCCCCACTCTCGGTCGTACCAGGGCATTTGTGGGCACGAACATAAGTAACATCTTATGTGCTCATATACCAATTCATAGTTAAACGATTGATGGGTAATAATAAATGTAGTTTGTTATTGGAGAAAGCTGATTATGTATCCATTCAAATTCTCAGTGTACATGTTATCGTCATAGAAATATGATTTTGATACATTATAACCCAGTCTAGTATTTAAACATTTTTATTCTCTGTAGTCTTACCATCCTCATAAGAGATTTGGTAAATCTTAGAAATTTGACAGCAGAACATAATGCTGAGTATTTGATTTAACGGATTTTACCGTATTTAAGAGTGGTAAAGGTAACAGTGTGGTATACTGATAGCTTGTAGTGAATTTTGACTGCCATACAGGATTGTTTTAAAAACTACTTTTGACTTTACAAAGTTTTCGGAGTTAAGATGAACTGATGTCATATAGATGAGCTTTTGTATCGGACATTGTATGACTCAAGGATTGAAGAACCCACCTAACCCCTGGGTAAATACATTGGCAATGTAAAAAAGTGTGCATTACAATGTTCCGTGTTTTTTTAAAATAATAAATTAAACATTCGTATCGATTGCATCCTGTTTGGCTGGAAACGAGTTTTATTTTCTCAGGGTCATTCAAGTGTCACTATGGGTCACCTCTGTGATACATTTTTACCGCTCAAACTCCATGAAGCTTCAGAATATTAGGAATACTCCGTACGCGATTAACAGGTTGCTCTGTCGAAATCGATTCCAGCTGATTCTTCCTAATAGTTTCTATTTCTGTTATTTAATCCTTGGTTCGAACAACCTGGTGGTATCATTATCTCTCAAATATAAAGTCTGACTTATATCCAAGTACTCAGTGAATGAGTTAAAGTATAAAGGTGACGGGAAACAGACATCTGAGACGAAGCTCTTTAACGCTACTCAGTTCCATACTTTTTATTCTATTTCACTGTGAACGTTCTTTGAAAGGTTGTTTTTTTCTTCTAGTTTTATTGACTGACTTACCTATAGATTCGTAAATTCACTACAGTACGCATAAAAAATGTTTGTTAGACACATTGAACGAGTGTGGCTCTGTCTTCTGTGTTGCTTTAGGACAATGAGTTGCATATATGCTTCCTCTTCAAGCTGAATATAAAGTGATGTAGTTGAACATACTAATTATATATCTCATAGATACGATGTTCAACGATTAGACCATAACAATCAGGTGCTAGTTAACTAGATAATGAATCACCAACAGCTAGTTTCCTCCAAATGCCTACGACATTTTATCATTATTTTGTATTCATGTTCAGCTTATGAGCACATTATTTTATTACATAAAAAACCTATTCATCTGACTAGTGGTCGTGTCTTTGATGGTAAATCATTCAGAGGCTTGAGTCGATATGGTCTAGTGAGTGTCCATCACTCGACTGCATCATATCACCTAGTCCATTCATCGATTAGCATTCTATTCACTGATTTCATCAATCGATCTCATCAGTCAATAAACTCTTTCTCCATAAAACTCGTTTACCAGTATTATCATTATTTTGAAACCCACTTTTTATACTTTAGAAAATGCAAAATCAATCCGATGTGTATATAACTCTTCTAAGAAAAAATATTCCATCTAACAATCCTGTCAGTTTTATTCATAATCCTTCAAAAACCTCAATAAATGCCGATTGTAATGAATTTCATCATGTATCGTCAGTTCTTGATCATAGTTTGGTGGTACACGATTTAAACGCTCCATTTATCGATGATGAATACGACTGTACACATTCGGCAGAATACAAATCACAAACTTCGGATGACAATATCGACTTCAATAATGCATTACTATCAAATTATTTAAAAAGTATGTTATTTTTGGTAATATAGGTTGATTCAATACTTTTTAGTACAATTGTTTTCTTCTTTGTGAGCATTGTATTAATGAGGTTTAGCATTAGGTTAACAAGGGGTTTCTGTTTCCAGTTAATCATCTGGTTTGTATGAATAACTAATTGAAAAGTAGGTTAAATGTTAAAATCTTGTTAGTATGATTATGTTAAAAAACATTGGCAATGTTTATCCCTTGTCATATATATATATATATATATATATATATATATTTAACTGTTATAGCTTGTGGCCTATTAAGATATAACATAATGATACCGCCAATTATACAGCATTGGCTTATCGACCGGACCAATGACGCGTAAACCCGTACGAGCAGTCTAGAGTCCTTATCAGTCCTTCTTCCTATCTAGTTCTGCCTTTTAAGTCCAGAACGCCAATGTCAGCTTCCGCGACACGAATTATATATTTCAGGCGTACTTGGTTTATATACAAACCAAACTGACCACATCACACCATATATTAGAAATTAACACTTGTACAAGATCTGGCCATAAGTGGCCGTGATTGTGGAAGACTGTAATTAAAAATCTAGGAATATCTCAAGTATGGCAAATCGTATAATAATAGTTCATAGGTCAAAATAAAGCTTATAATTAGAGTAATATGATTATACATAGTTTAGTTACTCAACAATTACACAATAAAGATATATGTATAATATTAGTCCATAAAGAGATCCCAACAATTACCATTCATTATTCTCGTCGGGGTATATCCTTAACAAATAAAATTTACTCAAAATAGGATGACGATTATATCATATCGTATGTCAAAGAAAATTCCTTAATAGTCGAGAATTGATTAAAGATAATAAGATGAAATCAAATGTGAGAAGGGTGGATAATAGATCAAAAACTTGCAAGTGATAACAAATAATTAGAATTAAGAAAACTAAAACATAAGATCAAGTCACCATTTTTGAAACTTTAGGTGTTAGGGCCATCGAAGAATGATGGCTTGCACGTATCTTTTGCAATCAGAGCTTAAGCATAAAAAGTGCTCCTCTCGAAATAAATCATCTGATTATATTAATGATTTCTAAGTATTTATTATATGGAGTCGTGTGATCAGAATTCACAAGGTGTTTTAATATTGGGCTATTGGTTATTTTACATTCGCCTTTTGAGAGTCGTGTAGGATTATACTCGGAGATGCATTTGGTAAAAGCTCACTTTGTGTAGTAAATGTAACCTGCTTCACAAGAGCAAGTAAGCTCATAAATACATTATAATGTGGCTCGACACAGTAGTATATCTTTGGCATATCCATTAATGATAGTGCGGCTGATAAAGGCAATGCGAAAATTAGCAGCATAAAAAGATTTACTTGAGGATTCCGTTAGATGGTTTTTTAGTGAATTATAGGTTTTCACTAGTGGTTTAGCTTAAATCGATTCGCGAAATCAACTGCGAAAATACTACAATTTCCACAAATCCTTATACTGATAATAATCATGTGTTCACTAGTGACTAACTTGAACATGGATTTCCTGGAGTTCTAGTGAGAAGCTATGACCAGTGGAATTGAATCCGTGTTGGGTGTGAGATAGTTATCCGCCTCAGTTAGTGGATGAAGGGAAGCGCAAGATCATGGATCGATTGAAGTTAAACATTAACACCGTTGGATTCCGGATTGACTCGTGAATTCAACTGTGGAAATACTACAATTTCCACAAATTCGCATACTGATAATTAGTTTATTTGTTAATTAACTATGAATACGATTGTGCAGCATAAGTAATTGACATCATCGAAAAGAAAATTTTCTTCGCTAAATTGTCCTTAATTCTTTTTCAATGAAAACCATATGTTGCTTTCGTTATATATATTTGTGCATTTTATTCCGGGAATCTATTCTCTTTTCTAGAGTTGTCTCTGTTTGATTACTTACTAACAATAATACGTTTACAGTTTTTTATTAGTCCTAAACAAGACTGAAACCAAATAAAAGCAACCTGAGTTAGGTACTTAGATTTTTTTGTAGTACTAAGTTATAATCTGTAAACTTACAGCTTTTTCGTTACTGATGAGTTTCACTTATATTAAGCACATAGTTTAGATTCATGTATATCTACCGTCTAGTAGTAGAATTAGTATTATTCATAGTTATCAGTTTCATGTTTGTTTAGTACTGGTTGCATTTTATCAATCATGCCTGAAATATAAACAATAGACAGTGTCTTGACATCGCAACGAAAAATGATGTAAGATATTTTGGAGGCAGTTGACGTGAATCCGTTAATCTAGATGTCATACTAGGTGGTACTCATCTTATTTTTATTATCAGCCTGGTGTATCTAAAATCAAGAACTTTCTGTGCATTGCTTTCAGTCACCTATATATATATTCAACCAAAGTATCATTGCTGAAATGATCTATTTGTTTAAACCCGAACATTGGTGCAAAGGGGCACCAAAATATATATGCGCCACAAAAATTCTTGAATTTTTGTATAGTCTGGGATGCTGTTCAAATGTCCAAACCCAAACAGATGATTTTTGTGGTGGGGCTACTTCCTGAGCCTTTGACTTAGAAATTCAATCCTTAAAGTACTGGAACAACGTTAAGAGATAAGGTCTCATGATAGCCAGCGACCGAGAATAGGTTCATATCGCATTTGTACCCTCAGGATCCTGGAGCTAATGAACACTATTAATTTGGAATGAGACTTTTCCAACTCTCGTACTCACGAATCAGGTTTAAGTGACGGGCATTCGCTTTTAGTTATATCAATTTTGTGAACAACACCCTCTCTGTAATAATGCAGTGAGCAGAATCTCCCTGGCAGTAGCTATATGTGCGTGGCCATAGGAGAGCCCTTCGAAGAGGGAGAGCGAACTGTCCCCACTGTTATATCCGAGCGAAGATTAAATCACGAGTAACTTCTGAAACATATTAGTTGACTAATATTATTTATACGTCCTTATGGTATAACTATTCAATAATTAGATTATGTATATTTATATTCCTCTTATTATAAGCTTTATTTTGACCTATAATTTATTATTGTACGATTTACTGTTCTTAAGTTGTGTTCCGTTTATTAATTACAGTCTCCCACGTTCACAGTCACTTTTTGGCTTTATTGTGTACAAATGTTATTTCCTATTTTATGGTGCGTTGCTATCTGTTTGATTGATATATAAACCCAGTATGTCTGAAATAAATGATTCGGCTCGATTCGCATAGTGGAAGCTGGTATTGGTGTTCTGGACTCAAGTGGACGGGCTAGGCGGCCATAGGATCAATAAGGAAGCTAGGCTGCCCATACCGGTCGAACGCCATTGGTTTTGGCACAGTGCTAAGATTGTATAAGTCGTATTTTGATTGGTGGACAAATCATGTGATAAAGAGCCAGACATAAAGTCACAACACCCACCTTCGGCCGTACCAGGGGATTTGGGGATCATGATAAGTAATGCTAATAGGTGATCAAAAACCATTACGGTTCCGTATCTGATTGTCAAATCAATAACGTTGTTGTTTCGACTACTATTACAGTAGATTTTGTTGTTTTAAAATCATACTAAAATAGTTTTTAATACATAATAGAGCCTTCTAAAGAAAGTCCATGTACCAAAACAGAATTTTTGTGTTAGTTTTTTTTTAATGTGCACTTGTCACTTCTGACCAATAATGCTTGTGTTTTTAATCAACTCGTTTCAATTTTCCCATTTGAATGTTTTATATATATATGCTTTGTTTGTACTTTTCAGTTCCTGGACGTGTATATCATATGCCTACTGAAAGCATCATCTCATCAGAACGTCTTCGTGAATTAAATGCAAATATAATTGCTGGTCCATATTTATTAAGTGATTTTCTTAGTATGAATGATCGTTGTAGTAATATTCCAATGACCAGTTCAGAATTAATTAAATCACGTTCACGTTTATTTTCTGTGCATATCAAAATAGTTGATGCCAAAAATGAAGTTAGTGCTTTTCCCCTTTGTTAAATTGTATTTTTATGGAGTACTTTGATTACAGTCCCATTTTTCAGAGTGTGAGGTTGTAAACCTGTGATTCAGGGCAGGAATTAGTTACTAATGAGCAGCATATTTACAACTGAGGAACATCTGGAACTCAAAGCAACTGTCAACCAACACCAAGGTCAGGATTTTCAACACAAATGTCAAGATAGTTCTACTGTATGGGGCAAAAACCTGGAGAACTACGAAAGCCATCATCCAGAAGATACAGGTGTTTATTAACAGTTGTCTACGCAAAATACTTCGGATCCGTTGGCTGGACATTATTAGCAACAACCAACTGCGGGAAATAACAAACCAGATCCGAGCGGAGGAACAAACCAGGAAGAAGCGCTGGGAGTGGATAGGACACACATTGAAGAAAGCACCAAACTGCGTCACAAGACAAGCCCTCACATGGAATCCTCAAGGCGAAAGGAAAAGAGGAAGACCAAAGAACACATTACGCCGAGAAATGGAGATAGACATGAAAAAATGAACAAGAATTGGATGGAACTAGAAAAGAAGGCCCAGGACAGAGTGTGTTGGAGAATGCTGGTTAGCGGCCTATGCTCCGTTGGGAGTAACAGGCGGAAGTAAGTAAGTAAGAAGAGCCAAGACAGATATATTCCTGTAGTTAGTCACATAATCGATTATTTTTTATATTGTAACTCTAAGCTTTACTCAGATTCAATTGTGGTCAGTGGTAAAATTATATCACATCGACAACCTTGAATGATTTCAGGGATGACCTTGAGATTGACCAACCGCAATTAGACAATCAGGATATAAACCTTTCGTATAAGAGCCCTGAAATATAAAAAAAATGATAAAATTACATAGGATTTGAAGCTTTTACATCATCATTAAACCTTTTATTCCTGAATATCAATAATTTAAGCTTTAAGTTATTGTTCTGTAATCAAGACGGATCCTAGTCCAACATATTTTAAAACCTAACTCCCAACCCCAAAACACTTGACTTCTAACATTAAAACCTCTGAACACTAGGTCCTAATTCCTAAACATAATTTCCAACCTTAGTACTCTTAAATGCCTGTTCCTTAGCCTAAAACTCCCAAACCCTGACTTCGAACCTTAATACTGCTTACATTAACACCTAAACTAAACATATTGACCTTAACAGTTCATTCCACAAGAAAATCATCATTCAATCTTTCCGAAGTACAAAATATTTTGGAAATCATGGGTTTTAGCAACAACCTATCTGCAACAGCGTTTCGGATTTACCCATCGGCTAGCTTAATTTCTATTGGTCGCTCAGGGCTGTTGGTACAATATAATTTTCCTTGGTTGATTGCTTATACTTTAAGTAGTTTATTGTTTCTTTAGTCTGGTTCTCTGTATTTGATCGGTAATTGTTTATCTGCGTATCACGTAATGTATACGATATTGGCATTATCTAGTGCACCAACAGAGTGCCTGGCAAGAATGTATCAATTATCCTATTATTATCACATATTGAGTATCAGTCGCTGAAACAGCAGTTTTTTCAAGGTTACTATCATAAAACAAGAATTATTTGCCACTTACCTGTATGAATGGAAACGTTCACTATTTAGCTGGCTGTTTTTTAAAAGAGAGAAAATGATGTAAACCACATATTCACCTGCTAATGTTAAATTTATATAGTTCTTCTAAGTGTTGATCGGATCTTTTCAATCATGTTGTAATATGGTCACTAGTCATTGTGCCTGAACATCACTTGTATTCTGTTAATATGTGTGTTGATTCGTTGAATGTAGTCAACAAGAGATCTTGTATCTAGGTTTATCATTATATAACGCGTTTATTTATCTATTTATACAAGTAGGAAAAGAATATTATTGTTGGGGATGTTAGCTCCTCAGAACCCACTTGGTAAATGTCTTATTTTTGCAATTTTATTTTGGAAATTTGAATTTCTTGTTTTCGCGCCAAAAGCGCTCATTTTCTTCTTCATGTCCTATTTACCACTTGGGAAGACCTTAAATGTCATTGATTCGTTGTCTCTTTTAATATGCTATTTTGTAACGCTTCCCAACGACATTTTTATACTGTATATATACGCTTGAATTATGCTAGTGGTTGTTGTTCGTGCTTCTGGCTGCTTGTGGAATACTTTTACCTCTTCTTAACCTGGACTTCTCTCGCTGATTAGCGGGGCTAGGATGCATCGGAATAGTTCGATTATTTGGTCATTGTGTCACTGAGTCTACGTTCCGTTCTCAGATCACGGGAACTCACAATCTCTTCAAACATAGCAATCATGTTATCCTATTTTGTTTCCATTTTTTTAGACTTCTTCAAATCTTGATTGTCAATCGGCTACTACAGTTGAAATTCAACAACCACCTTTATTACTATCTGATATATTTGCACAAATTGGTCTGAGTGTTCATCAGTTTAACACCACCTGTTATCGTTATGACCATCCTGCTCCCCCTAATGATTTTGTTAATGAAACACCATCGTCATCATCGTTATCAACTGATCAGCTTACAATTGTGAATGATATTGATAATGATGGTAATGGACATACATCCTTAAAGTCGTGTAAAATGCATACAATTTTACATGAAAGGGCTCAACTTTTAGCTATTCTACGCTCTATGAAACTTCATGAAGATTGTTTTAATTTTCTTAGCTCAACTGATGGTACTTGTAAACATAATAGTAATAATAATCATAATAAATGGAGAGACTTTCTTACTCAAAACTCCTACCATCATAATAGCAATTTTTCGTCAGTTATTCTAGATATTTTGAATTGGGTTGTATTGATGTATCTTCATGAGTTAGAATTATCATGGTAAGTTTCCACTTTCCTAATAATAATATTATTTATGATGATGGTATTCTCAGTAAAGTTAGATAATAGCTACCAGTGGATTCCAGAACACCCGTCTTGTCCTATTTGAGACTGGTCAACTGGATGTATTTGATATTTATTCCACCATTCAAATTCGCTTAAAATGCTTGTAATTTAATGGCAATATCAAGTTAATCCACATATGTTTGGTGGCTAACTGTTTTACAGTGGACATGGTTTAGCTCCACTGGTTATGATTTCTGTGAAAAACATCTTGGGAAGTTTCCTCTAGAATGTAGTCACCAGTGAACATATGATAATTGTTAGTGTGGGATAGTGGCAGTTGTTGAATTTCATTAGAATCATTATCTAACCTAGAGGAAGTGTTCGCACGCGAGACCGAAAGTTTTGGGTTCGAGTTTAACGTGCGCTATCGTGGATCATCATTGTTGAAAAGCCCCATACTAGAACAAAATGACCCTTCCTTACGTCCAGGTTTTCAGTGTTAGTTTAATTTTGATTGGTTCATAATTTCAATGAAATTGAACAATTTTCACAACTCCATACTGACTTTGGTATTTATCTTAATAATTACATTTTATTGTGTTGATATGGTATGGTAACCTTCACTGCTGCATATATATATCAGGTTGTTTGTTGTTTATCACTGACTGACCGATTTGTTGTCTTTAATAAATAAATATAACTTGCAACTATCTTCACCAACTTGTTATTCACTGATTTGGTTAGGTTAATATTCAACTTACAGTTTATACTGTATAATTAATATTATTTTCATTTGTTAATTTTAACCTTATTTAGCGATATCGTAGCGAATTTATTAAATTTGGCTGCAAATAATTATGAGATGTTAATTGAAAATGTAATTGTACACGGTGATCGTGAATGTGTTCAACTTGGAACAAAATTATTGTTTAGTTTACTCAAGTAAATTCTTGGTTATTTTCATTAGTTTCCTAATATTCGTATACTGTTGTGGAAAATTGTGCTATTCATATAATTTCTATCTCACAAATATTAATTAAATTAGTGAGTTATAAATCTATTTGTTTAAATACATCTCAGTGGTGGTATCTGTGACTGTGAGTCAAGTTTAATTACATTGAGAGGAAAGTTGTTTGAGCATTAATTCTCTCCTAGATTACGAATATGATTTGATGACAATTACTAACACCGAAGTTTAGATTCATGACCGATTGGTTTCAACTATCTAACACTAAAACATGGTCCACATGTTTTCGAAGCTAATGATCACATTGTAAATTGGTCGACACAACACAATCAACACTAAGAGTTAAATAAACGTGAAATTAGTTACTGCTTAGTGACCAGTCAATCTACATTTATTCTGTTTGTTTAATCACTTGATCTTTATGGTGTTCGCCTTTGTGAAGCATTCAAATAATATACTACAGTCTACTAGTACTTTATACATTCCCTCATTTCTCAAACACTAAAGCTTTCAAATGTATTTCCGATATTTTTTATAAGCAGTATTACTTAATTGTAGTTTTAAAAAATAACCCAGTTTGAATATATCTTTTTATCAGTCATGACTGATGGACATAGTTCATTATCGTTCAGTATTTCTTATTCTCTCATTGAGCATGCTATTACCCGTTGGTTAAGGAGTTTAACTTCCAGTTGCTGGCTCGAAACCTACCCCACGTACTTGTATTTGGGTAACCACATAGTATTACTAGCTCTCACAATTGGAGTTTGGGTCAAAACTAAATGCCTAAGTCTATGCCTAGTAATAAATGAGATGTCATTAAATCAAATTACCAAGAATTCGACATTTTTAAGTAGGGTTCACAGATTACATGATATAATGTCAGTCAGTATATTCACTTCAAGTCATTGATACACTATCCGTTACTAGAGGTTTTAACCTGCCTACTTTCGCATGTATTTTATACGAATAACCTAGAAAATGTTCAACAAAAAAATAACCATTAGATGAGTGTTTCCGTATTGATCGGTTGGTCATGTTGTTAAGGTACTGTGTTTGAGTATTTATTGGACAAACTCTGGATACATCTAGTTTGTACTATGCCAATTTTTATTTCTATAATTTTGTTTTTCATAGATTAGAATTTGTCTTCCTAAAATATTGCTCTTCAAATAATTCATCATATAAGAAGCCAATGGTTTTCCATGTATTACGCAATTGTCTGTCTACCGATAGTAAAACTACTACTGATAATAATAATAATAGTAGTAATAGTAAATTCATTCGTTGGTTATTAATTTGTCAAACATCAGCTGGATGTGAAACATTATTCAGTTTATTGGATTTCATCATTTCTTATTCTTTTGATGAATATCGTAATAATTTAAATGATTTAAAGGTAAAATTGTTATTACAAAATAATCTAATGACTTTACTCAATACAGTTTCATTGTTTCATGAGGATTTCAATCGTCTACACCCGTAAGTATTTATTTTGATATTGTTCTTAGTATTTCTATTCAATCGCTTTTTTTCTTCAGGGGATTGTAAACATTGTATATGAAAGTTATGTTTGAGATAATCTCAGTAGTTGAAATTAAATTATTCAATTGTAACGTTTTATCCAAAACAACGTGTCTGGATTTCTTCAGGGCGATCATGAAAACCAATTTCTGTCAAACTATTCGTTTAAATGTTGAAGAATATTCGTACAAATAAATAGTAGTTTTCATTCTTGTTTAATGACTGTGAGGGTGACGGAGGACCCTTAAGAATTGTTCACCTGTCTTTGTTTTTGAATTTCAAATAATCACCCAATCATTGCACAGACAATGTTGATCATTACTCGTGTAAACTTTGTGTAACATGGTCTTTTAGGGCTCTGTTATGTGGGAGGTTTCATGTGTTACACTCAAAATTACCTTCAATGTTCCAGATTGGTTATAGAAGGAACAAAGTTTTGATAGATGATATTATTTGCAAGCAAGCGAGATAATTAAATTATGAAACTTAAACTGTTTCATTGTGATTTACATTGCACACTGGCTTCAACTAGATAATTATTAAGAGCCAATAATAACTATACAATCGTCACTAACCTCTTATAATACTAATAGAAAAGTTGTTTTTTATTGTTAAAAGAGATATGAATCCCATTGTGGCAAAAAACAAACAAATATTCGATAACAGGACTACAGAACCATTCATATTTTACTATCGATTCTTGTTATCTCGGTATGATCTGTTCGTTATTATCTATATCGTACTAGTTACATAAAATAAATGCTAGCAGTTAAGTGTTGGAGTGCGTTCCAATCTACTTGAGACTTTTCAGTTGGATTTACCTACCTCCCCCCATTGTTTATTTTCACATTAAGACGCGTTATCTACGGAGCTACTGAAACTAGATAGTAATCCACCTGTCTAAGGGATATGTTATGTTATTATTGGCAATTTTATATCGAGGCAATCCACACAAGATACACATATGCTAACTTAAGGTGATCAGCATAGTAAAGTTTTTCAACAACATGATAATTCAAGTCCATCATAACAATAATATATATATACCACTGTAAGTTATTTCATCTAGTGGATCAGATTGGATCAGTGGTTTAGTGAGTTCAATATTTAGCCACTGAGTTTTGGGGTCAAACTGCGCTCCATTTTTTTTGTCAATTCAAAGCCATTGACTACAATCATTGTCTATCATTCTTAACATGTATGTACCTGATAAATAAGTTGAACTTACTTACTTACACCTGTTACTCCTAATGGAGCATAGGGTGGCGACCAGCATTCTCCAACACACTGTGTCCTGGGCCTTGCTTTCTAATTCCATCCAATCCTTGTTCATTTTTCTCATGTCTATCTCCATTTCACGGCGTAATGTGTTCTTTGGTCTTCCTCTTTTCCTTTCGCCTTGAGGATTCCATGTGAGGGCTTGTCTTGTGACGCAGTTTGGTGCTTTCTTCAATGTGTGTCCTATCCACTCCCAGCGCTTCTTCCTGGTTTGTTCCTCCGCTCGGATCTGGTTTGTTATTTCCCGCAGTTGGTTGTTGCTAATAATGTCCAGCCAACGGATCCGAAGTATTTTGCGTAGACAACTGTTAATAAACACCTGTATCTTCTGGATGATGGCTTTCGTAGTTCTCCAGGTTTTTGCCCCATACAGTAGAACTGTCTTGACATTTGTGTTGAAAATCCTGACCTTGGTGTTGGTTGACAGTTGCTTTGAGTTCCAGATGTTCCTCAGTTGTAAATATGCTGCTCTTGCTTTATCGATCCGCATCAGATCCACCCTGTTCATCAATGATGCTGCCTAAATATGTAAAGGTTTTTATATCTTGCAAATCTTCTCCGTCAATTGTGACTGGATTGGTGCATTCTGTGTAATAAGTTGAATGTATATTAAAAACTATTGCACATATTCATTTCTCATTTTAAATTTATGTGTTTTATTTATTTACTAATTACAGTTCATATCATTTACCTACATGTCTTGGTCCACCTATGCTATTCAATCTACCAATATGTAATTGGACTTTCTTAGGTTCTGAATGTTTACAATCAACTAATAATAGTAATAACAATAATAAATATCAGAAATCATCTCATTCAACAATTCCAAGTACTAGTAATAATAATACTACTAATACTAATACTAATTCTAATCATAATATAAATTTAAATTATGAAAATATTAAAAATTGTTATTCTATTAATAAAGATGTAATGAATTTTAATGGTATATTTACACCGAAAAATTATATAACATTTATATCTGATTCAAAATTCAATGATACTATTAATTTAGCGCAAAATACAAAATTAATAGAAACATCAAATCATTTACAAAACAATGATAACATTAATGATAATAATAATAATAAGGATTCATTATATCTACTCTCATCTAATTATTCATCTGATGTATCCTATATTAATTTCTCTGATATTTTCACATTAATGCGAAGTAATTTCATTATGAATATTGATAATTCAAATAATATACATCATATTATATTATCAGATTTACAAGATTGGCCATTCAATGGTATATTAGATGTGGAACCATTAAAATTTCCTTTAGATAAATTATCAATTCAATCAAATGATGATTGTGATATTGAATGTGTGGATTTTTGTATGTTCGTTTTTTTTTGTTGGTTTGTTTTCTTTGCATTTTCTTGAATTTAAGTAGTATAATCTATATGAATAGTTTGTCAATAGTAAAACGAATGGTTTGATTATAGTCTAGCTCTGAATATAGAGAAGCTATTATTATTTTAAATAATCACAACGATTGAAATTTGAATGATTTCAACATTTCGTCTAATAAACGTGTTTAGATTTCGGGTTGTCTAATTGAGCCCTCGTATTTGAAGTGTAACTCAATATTAAGTAAATGAATTTGTGCCATGTAATGAGTTAATAATTATAATCGTTACGTCTTTGATTCTCCGGCCCATTAATTTGTGCTTTATATAAAGAAAGTTGTTTCGATCTAGTTTATGGCTTTAACATGCCTAGTACAATCTCTGGTATTACTACTCATGTGTTCGATTGTAACTCAACGGCCTTGAGGGCAAAGGGAGGGAAATTATCCGGCACGTGTAACATATATGAACAAACCAGTCAAGTTTCTGCACGAAATTTAATCATGCATTGTTGCTAATGTCAGTTCGTGATGAAAACCTTAATAATTCTATATTTAAATATTCATTGTTTATGTTAATATCTGTTTTCACCATAAATCGTTTCGTAACTAAACATTGTTTTCTCATTGAATAAAATGTAGTTCAAGGTCGTTCACATACTTCTACTATCATGCCAATGGCCTATGACCTGAATGGTTGGCAAGTAGAGCGAAAACAATTCAGCTGTCCAATTTATTCCTAATTCACATTAACTGGAAAAGGCGCGTAAATAAGGTTCCGACTAACAAGACCACAACGCGCAAGTAATGAGAAAATTATAACCATATTCAAACTAGGACAATAGAGTAAAAAGATGGAATATAAACGTCACTTCTCAATTCATTACAGTCGATGAAACTCTTGGAAAATGTAAACTGCTACCTAAATTAACAACTTCACTCATTGTAATCAAAATGGTTGTACATCTTTCAGTTTCTAATTTTAATCTCCATAAATTTTTTGGTTGAACAGTATACTGGGCATAGGGAATATCTCGTTTCTAATTAAAATTTATGGGTTCAATTTGAATGTCATTAAGTTAGTGGTTCGAAACTCATATCACCTACATCAGTTTGGGTGATTGGATAAAATCACTAACCTTTAGTCATTAAATATTTCTCAGAATTGAGTATACAAACATGTGAATGTTTAGTTGCTGAATTATATAAAAAATAAATTAATAAAATTACCGTTATGTAGGTATAATGACCCTAATTGAGAAGTAATCCTTTTTACTATTTGTTTCTCGTTAATATTTAACTATAAATTCCGCTTATTTATTTTACGTAAGAATTTTAATGCTTTTATACTGTTGAGTATATATATATTCAGATTAGTGAGACGAATAATCTGGTGGTTACGATACAGGGATATCAATCAATAGGTCACAAGTTAGAACCTAACTTCATTTCATTCAGTTTGAACAAGCATTACATATACTGTGTACTTCCAAGTCAAATATTTTAATATTTAACTGATAATTGGTGATAATAACGATGGTACAACACATTAGTCATAATTAACGTAACACCTGAAATCTATGTTCATCAGTTCAAATTGCTACACTATATCACTACAGTTGGATGAAATTACGAAGACAAATGCGATAGTAATACAACTAGTAACAATATCAATAGTATTAGAAAAGGTTAGGGATAGGCAATATAAATTGAGAAAGAAGAATGAATTTTCGAAATATAAAAATATGAGAGTGAATTTGTCTTCAACATATTCTAAGCTTATACATTCAATGTCTCCAATTTTTGGTTACCATAATCGCGCAGTTTACACAATTACTAAATACAGATTCGTGTACTTGACTTTAAATCATATTTTTTGTGTGGGAGAAGTAATGATTATTGTGTAACTCATCAAAACCAAAATCGGCGACATGGAACTCGAAACTTCAACCCCCATTTTTGAATGCCTTAACCACTACACTCGTCCTATTTGATAAATGAGCTCCACTCGTCTATTTTCTGTCTAAATCATATTTCCTTTTTGTGTATTTATTAAATAGTTTTCTGTAATTTAATACATTTTTTTCCTTTTACATTTTACAGTTACTGGTGAACAATTACCAATAAATGATAATAATTCTTATGTAATAAAACTCAATGAATCACAAGTTGAAACTAATAATGAAAATCATCAGTTAACATCTATTATATCTCATCTCATTAATTCCATTGAAGCTTATCATTTAATAATATCTCGTATGCATCCAGGTGCACATCGTTCAGTTACATTTAGTACTTATTCATCATCAATAAATTATTTAACTGATTTAATTATTCCAATGAATCCTTGTTTACAATGTATTACATTAGAAGCTATATTCATAGATAAATCATTCAAGAAACCAATAAGTTCTACAAAATTAATAGCTGTATCTACTGATATAAGTCATTCTGCTTTAATATTACGTGATATTTATCCACCAATTAAATTTACTCATTTACGTATTTCTATAGTTGGTCGATTAGATTGTCCATTCACTAAAGCACGTATTCATTTAGGTGCATATTTTGGACAAAATGGTATATGGGAACAATTTATACATCCTTTAATGAAAACAAATTCTAATAGTATTGATTTAATACAATATTTAGAAAGTATTGTATTAAATAAAACAATGAACTACATTTCAATTCAACAATGTTTAATGAATACATTAGACCAATTTGATAAGAATAAAAAAATGTAAGTTTTTTTACAATTCAATTACTTCATTGATAAATAAAGATAATAAATGGAATTAGATATTATGAAATAAAACTAAATATACATTATATACTATTTAGAAAAGGAGAAAAAAAAATCTGATGCGAGTCATCATTTGTTATTTCTAGTCGATAATCGATGGTGAAGTGAATGAACCTTGATCGATAGCATTCGATCTGCACTAAGAAGGACTTGACACACATGACATTGATCAACACCAAGTGATTAATCAATTGTGAATACATCTCAGTAGTCCTACAGGAGGTTGGTCGCGGCCCGGATAGCTGGGTGATACGGGGTTGAATCCGTCAGGGAGCACCAGTTCTCTCAAGATTACAGGTACACGTTGCTGACGAGTGCCAAGTAGCAAAAAACATGGGTCCATGGTTTCCTGTTGACTACCTCTAACCACCATTCTATCTGAACCTTGTTTCTGTTGTATTTGTAAATGTGTCTGTATTGGAGTTAGTCATATGAAGAAACTAGAAAAATAGTAGGTTTTTACAGATTGTGTAACAAATGAAATTCAGAACTCACATTTCATCTTATTTTGTACTCATCAGCTGGGTGTACTTTCTACATTCTAGTGTTAATGTTCACACTGAGACTTGAAATTTTGTAACTTGCAGTTCAAAAACCAAATAAGTTATCTGTGCAATAAGCTATTAAGTCAAGAAATCCACTAAAATGTTCCATATATATGATCTTATTATTACAAATAGTGATAGTAGTAGTATTGAAAAATAAAATGTTTATGTTACGTAATAATCTTAGTCCTGTTTTACGTGATTGATAAAAGTTGTTGATTTACATCTGTTTCTTGCCATTTTCAAACATTTTTTAAAACTTCATTGTACGTTTTCATTCCGTAATTTGAATTTATCAAATATATTAGTTCATCATAAATTGTATTCAACCACGTCTTTATAAATTAGTCACTCACTAATGACATTGGAAGATGGTTGGACGGATTAGACGAAGTTGGACATATAAACCATTGGATTTTGGTTTATTAGTCTAATGGTTAAGTGCTCACATTGATACCTGAAAGTTCTAGGTTCGATCGCTGGTTGGGTCGTGACTGTGTACTGCCGAGGAGTCCCGTAGTGGGACGAAATAGTTGTCCAGTGCTTCTTAATTTAACTACGTGTAGTATGTTTTTAAACTGGAAATCTTACCTTTGGAGGAGCGTGTAAAAAGCTATACTTGCTCCATTTGCATTGTAATCTGACTGAACTTCGTATAAATCGTATATTTAAAAAAATTTAAGTAAAAATCTATTCTTCAAATGAATAAAGCATTTAATTTTGAACCAGGAGGTTCCGATTTTCAACATAGATACACGTAGATTTAGGTTGAAACTGTTGGAGATTACTAATAAACCTTCAATAATGAAAGTATATTCAAAAAGCGGTATATGAACCCATACTTTATTCTGCGTTTCATCTATAATAATAATGTAGTTGTCAGTGTTTGTTTTTTCAAATTCGTAATATTTGGGACTGCTATTGATCAGTCTCCATTAAAACATGCACATTTTGAGTACATATTGTCATTTTGTCTTAATTAAGATAAATTGTACGATAAGTCGCAAGCTCATAACATAACAACTAGTCAATACTCTCGGGTTGTTTTCAATCAATTCTCCGGGTAATGTGGAACAGTTCGTGATGTGACTTCTCTCATTCTCCTTTCAAATTGAATTAATATCTGTATGCAACCCAACCTGAATACAACGTTTATTCTAGTCTTTCTGATGGGACTGGGTTCTCCCTTTGTTATATTAAGCAAGTTCGGGATTTAACCATCACTACTACTACTGGTACAATATCGTAATCTCCTGTTCATCTTCTTTATGACTCTGTTAAGTATGTTTATCTTCCGTTTTTCATTTATTTTTGCGTGTATAGATCCGGTATATCATTAGATAGTGATAATATCCAAATATCATCACTATATAAACAATGCTATAGTTTACAATATCAATTGAATTGGATAGATCGTACATTGAATCGTTTAAGAAAAATATATCAACCTGAAAAACTGCGTGAATATAAGAGTCGAATTCATCAAACGGTTTGTCAATTATTAACCCTTATTATTATGTAATTGTTACTATTCGTCTTGTTAACTTTTTTTTCTGTCTTACAGAAAATAATTGATCAACTTAGTTTCTTGGACAGATGATGATTATGGTTATCAGACTGATAAATGAACTCTTATCAAGACTGTTTTCCTGTTCAGAACTGAATACATCACAGATAGTAGAGCCACTGTTCAGTTAATTTAATAGATGTTGTAATGAATTAGTTTTGTCATTGAATTATTGAATAATTAATCAGGATCATGTTTGAAGCATTCAACTATTCCTCGAGAAGGTATTTTAAAGCTCAGAAAAAGGCTGAAAATACTGTTTATTTAGCGTTCACTGGAAACTGTAGATAAATCTGGAAAATCAATGAATTGTGTATCAACTCTTCACGGGATAAGTACCGATTTTTGTTTACTAAACTTAACGTATTTCCAGAAGCTTCAAAGATATCAAAGTTACCCATAGACCTACGAATATTCTTGTTCTTGTATCTAAAGTAACCTTGGAAGTAAATCTTCTTTATACACTCCCCCACTTTTTGTTTTTCGTTCGAAGTTCAAGTATAAGAGATTTCTTGTGAACCAGGGAGCAGTTAAAATGTCAGTATTAGGCGTTCAAGTTTGAAATCGCTGGTGCGTTACAGTTTAGACCTATCCAATAGGATTAATTTTCCAACAACAAAAAAACTCAACCATAAAAACTCTGCAATTAATTACTTTCTATTCAATATCAAACGGCAGTCTGTTGTACGCGCTCACATCGATTTATTCCAGATAGTGGTGGCGGATTAGTTAAGGCGTCTAACTTTTAACTGCCAATTCCCGGCTTCCAACCGCTGTCCACTCACTTTGATTGGACAACTGGATCGTACGATTAACCTTTACACTTAAAATGTGACTCAGACCTAAGTACCTAATGAATAAGTTAATTGAATTTAAACTTATATTACAGATTCTTTGGAGTCGTATTCCATATAAATTAGGTTTTAAAAGCCCTTACGAAAACGACTTCAGCTCTTAGTCCAAAATGCTTACTTCGACGTCTCATTCTGGTTGGTTCGAAGGTAGGTTGGAAAAAGGTTACATTGACTGAACCATGACGTGGCATATATCGAGACCGATTACATTGTTACAGATGTGTATTTTGTTTACCTTTTCCTTATATATTGATTTTTATACTTTTCTTTCCCTGAGTACATTGCTTTTTGATCCCCATCTTCTATGTTCAGTCTTCCTCATCATCATTTACACTACTGTTTTTGATCAGTCTCTTTTCGTCATATATGAATCCTGTGCGGATTACCTCGGTATAGGCGTTAGTTGAAAAACTTTATAAGCAGAGTTTGATAATGTCTAGCGGTGAAGTCCAGCTGATGAGTGCAAAATTGAACGAAACACGCACTGTAGATCTCATTACCAGCCACCATCCATCTCTGTCTTTAAGTTTTTTTCTTTAACGATATCTTTTTTTCTATACATATATTTCTCAATTTTGTTTAATTTTAGTCTAATGAACAGATAAGAATGGATTTGTATCCAGATAAAGTGAAGTATGTTTTGGAACATTGTTTACTGTGTTTGTTAAGTCATGCAAATGAAATCTGGTCAGTGATAGAACCTCTTTCATTATTAACCGAATCAACAGGAGTTTCACCATTAGACGATGATGATTACACCTTTTTAAATTATGTTGATAAGTGTTGTACAACATTTTTAAATGATATGATTATTCATGGTAGTCGTTCAATGCAAGTAAGTTATGTTTCTTTTTTGTTTGTTCTTTCTTAATAAAAAAAGACTGTCTATTTTCGTATGTCTCTCTTGATAACATATATTTTAATTTAGATTTTCATAGATGGTTATCATTTTTTATTGTTGTTTATCTCTAATCTATAAGTGTTCCTGTGTGATAACTTCAGATTAATGATTAGCCAGACTACTTTGATTTTCATGATGTCCTAGTTTTCGTAGCCGTGTAACTGACGAAAAATATTTCAGTACAACGATTATAATAATCTTAACAGATTTTACCAATTCTAGGCACTTTATGACCAGAAAATGTTGCCTATCTTCCACAATTTACAACATGGACTCTGGATAGCTGTTTATTCTTTGTCAGTATTTCGTCATTTACGCTCTGGTGATTAGGACATGTGTCACCGATTCTCATCCATTGCCAACTTCCACGTAAAATTACTGTTAGGATAGGAAAAGAAAAAGGCTAGAGGTGGCTAAATCAAAACTAGGAATTAATTCATGAAGTTATTGATTATTAGTTTGAGCTGTTTCAGTAGGTGGAACATATGTGATTAATGTCTACAAACTAATTGTATTTCAGACATACTTGGTTTATATACAAACCAAACAGACTACATCACACCATATATTAGAAAATAACACTTGTACAACATCTAGCCATAAGTGGCTGTGATTGTGGAAGACTGTAATTAAAAATCTGGGAATATCTCAAGTATGGCGAATCGTATAATAATAGTTCATAGGTCAAAATAAAGCTTATAATTAGAGTAATATGATTATACATAGTTTAGTTACTCAACAATTACACAATAAAGATATATGTATAATATTAGTCCATAAAGAGATCCCAACAATTACCATTCATTATTCTCGTCGGGGTATATCCTTAACAAATAAAATTTACTAAAAATAGGATGACGATTATATCATATCGTATGTCAAAGAAAATTGCTTAATAGTCGAGAATTGATTAAAGATAATAAGATGAAATCAAATGTGAGAAGGGTGGATAATAGATCAAAAACTTGCAAGTGATAACAAATAATTAGAATTAAGAAAACTAAAACATAAGATCAAGTCACCATTTTTAGAACTTTAGGTGTTAGGGCCATTGAAGAATGATGACTTGCACGTATCTCTTTTGCACCTAGAGCTTAAGCCTAAAAAGTAGGATTACTAGGCTACCTCCAGTGCATAAGTTGTCGATTTATGCTTTTTTGGATCAAATCGTCCGACTGGCTATTTATTCTTTAGTTTCATTTAATTTCTTTAAAATTGCAAATTCTATTATTATTTTAAATTCTCTGTTGATTTCATTTCCTTATGTGGATGGAATTTTCGGATTACTTCTGTTGTGTTCGATCGTCGCAATTGTTGTGCCGGTAAAATCGCTAAACACCTATACTAGGAACAAGATACTCTTGCAATTTCCACAATGCGAAGTAAGAACACAAGACTGGTATAAGTGATGATTTATTAGCCCCAAAACACGACGACGACGGCGATGATCAAAATATTGATTTTACACCCATTTTGATTAATAATTAGGATTAAATCACATACTCAGTTATAACAAATCACAGACTGAGTATAGTTCGTGTCAGTGAAATACTAGGTTATCGTATATTATACAGAATAAAATATCATGCGACAAAAGAAAACAAATACTACTGTGCATGATCATCACATTGAATTAGAATGAATGTAATATTGAATAAAACTGACAATGAGTAAATCAATCAAAAATTGATTTTTCTTTCCATCATATCAACTTCACTCTATGCACATTTACCTCACCTTTAACATTGTTCATGGCTGTTAGATAGGTGTTCCACAGGTTCAAATCTCATACGAGAACGTTGTTTCCCCAAAAAATTCCAGGTATGCTTAGGTGACAAGTACCGACTAACACTGTCTGTAACCACATAACATCTTAGCCTAGTGCACTCAATAACAAATCATTTAGATTAGTGACATGACATTACATAACATGACATAACTCACTAATTCAGTGATTCATAAATTGTAAATTATTCATGACTAGCTGACTGATTAGATGTTTTTTGTTAATGTGAAACATGCTACTGATATATATATATATATATATATTAGGTTATTTTGTATATATATTTTGTCTTGGTTAATTTTATTGCAAGTTTCTATATTGTAATTGATTATTTTGTGTTTTTTTTTAAATCTGTGAACAGATTCTTACAGTTGGATTAATGCCGATGTTTATGAAAATCAACTCAATTATTTTACCAATTCATCATACTGATCATAATTATCTTTATAGATTCATTAATGAATTTTCTACATTGAAAAATAATTTCTCACTAATAAAATTGAATGATTTACAAATTGTATTTACTAATGAATCTAGACAACAACTATTATTTTGGGCTATATTACAACGTTTAATCCATTCTGGAATGTCTAATGATCTATTTGATACTTCTGTATATATTCTTCATGATATATGGGATTCTATAGATAAGAATAATAAAGAGGATTCATTTAATTTGGAAACATTTCATAATATTCTAATAATTATTGATACAATAATAGAAAATAGTTGTTCATCTCTACTTACTGTTCATAAATCTTTACATGATTTTTTAACAGTATTAAATATGCGTCAGTTATCATATAATGGTCAAATAAGTATAAACGGTTTATTAAAATGGCATTATTTTCATCAATTATATAATAATGATCGATGTAATGCTATATATCCTTATTGTCAAACAATAAATACTAAAATAACTGATGGTATTTATAAATATAATTTATTATCACAATATCAATTGTGTATTGTTTCATTTTATCGATGGCATTTAGAACATTTAGCTAATCTATCAACTCAATATGCAGGTACATTTTGTTGATTTTTTTTTCTCTCGTTTTATATCAAATCATTAATATTTCTCAATTTAATTGTTTATTATTAGAAGGGGTTTTGTGGAGATTGTAGTAATTTCAATAGTTAAGATCATGAGTCAATTGAAGCTAGACTACCATGGAAAACCTGGAAGTAATGGACGGCCGTTTCCATAGTGATCTAGCTTCAATTGACTCATGATCTCAACTATTGCAATTATTACAATCTCCACAAAACCCGTTCTAATACTAATCAACATATGCTCACTAGTGACTGGCTTCAAGAGGTATATCCTGGAGTTCTAGTGAGAAGCAGTGACCAGTTGAGTTCAACGGCGTCGGTTGTGAGATAGTAACTCACTGAAGACAATGGTGAATGTGTCGCTCAATTTCGTGGATTAGTTGAAGTTAGACATTAAAACCGTCGGATCCCGGCCGTCTCAGTGGTCTAGTGGTTAAGTGCTCAAACGCGAGACTGATAGGTCCTGGGTTCGAGTCTCGCGGGGTGCGGGGTCGTGGATGCGCAGTGTTGAGGAGTCCCACAATGGGACGAAACGGCCGTCCAGTGCTTCTACGTTTTCCATGGTTATCTAGCTTCAATCGACTCCTGATCTCAACTATTGAAATTAATTGTTTATTTTAATCAATCTGTTTACCAAATACAATTAGATTTTTGTACTTTGCTTTATACTACATATTTATTAGTGATATTATTATTCTGTTGTTTAAATTGTTATAACATGAACAGGATTCAAACTTGAGAATAAGTGGTTATATAGATGATGACAATTGGCAGAAGGAATGTTTATTTATCAATTATCCATTAGAATCTTTCAATGTGTTCTACAATCTGAAAAATTTTCTCGTGTTATCTTTAAACGTTCTATCTACTTCGTACTTTCAGTTGACTGATCTCTCCGTCTGATGACTGTTTCAGTTTCGATGCCACATTGGGCTATATACTACGTATAAACAATTTTTATGAGTAGGGTCCACTAAAGTTGAAAGTTGAGCCACCATTCTGTTTTTTTCAATAACAACGAGTAAATTTCTTTTCAATGTGTTTGAATATTTTCTAAATATACATATATTTCTTTGCAAGTTTAATAGATATAATCAAAGTTATTTAGTAATTTCTATCCTTATTCAAATTAATCAATTATTTTTTATTCTGTACGGTGGAAAATGTATTCACATTGAATTTCATGCATAAATAAGGTATAACAATCTTGTTACAATTCACCTTAAATAGTACGTTTTAACATTTTTAGTTAATTGAAACATTTAGTCGTACTAATTTAATGTTTAGTAACTGTTCACACGGTTTATAATATAAGGTAGATTGGTGTTTTTAAATAGTCGACGGCTTAGACTTTTAATCAGTTAGTTACAGCTGTATATCTCTATTCATTGATTTAGAAAAAAACTGATTGGTACCACTAGTTGTGATGCACAATAAACGTATCGGAAAGCCAAGTTGAACTACCTGGGTGCATTTGTATAAGATAATGAATATAGGAGCTTTGCAAAAAATCTCTGCCCTGGTCTGGCCGAGAGCGGGGTGGGCCTACCCTCCCTCTCAAAATGCTCTCACACGGCCACACGTATACAGCCTCTGCCAGGGAAGTCTTACTCACTGCCTTCTCGTGGCGGGGGTGTTGTTTGCGAAATTGGGAGGACGAAAAACGAATGTCCGGCGCTTTAACCGGATTCCAAACCATTGGTGTACATGGGCTTCAGGATCCTGAAGGAACAAATTGCGTATGAACCAACTGTTGGTCACCGGCTTCCATGAGACTGCATCTCCTCACGATGCTCCACTGTCTTGTGGGCTAGACCTTTAGGTCAAAGTCTCGGGGTGTGGTCCCCTGAGAAAACCACCTACTTCGGTTTGGGCACCCGGACAGTATCACAGCCCTCACACAAATCTAACGATTTATGTGGCACATATCTACCTGGTGCCCCCTTGTACCAATGTTTATGTGTTTAAATAAATAAATTATAATAAAACTAGGTTTCTGCAAGCTCTATACAAATACTTGAGGGATACAGGTTACTCTGGTAAACTACGAGTGTGATGACAATTGTATTTTCTTTAGTAAGTAAGCTTTATAAAATTGTTGTAACAACTGAGAAACCTGTTATTCGAAATACGTTATCTAATTAGAAGCAGCAGTAGTATCTGCTCACCATCGGAAGATATTTAAGTTCTTCTGAGCCACTGGCAGATGAAATCTGATGTCACTGTTACAAACTATGAAGTTTATAGTACGCGAATCAATAAGATTCGACGGCGTCTCGAGTAGTGGATTTGGTTCTTGGAGGAACAGATCGGCTGATCTGCTGTTTCAGTAACATAAATCAGACTGTCTCGTCCTCCATGGTTAGTAAGGATTTGTCCACCTTACGAGACTCGTGAAGCGCTTTAATTCGCAGGGGTAGTTGATTTATTCCTGATTTTTCTTAAGGAACCTAATGAACTCCCAGCCAGAGAGATTAAGTGGGTTGTTTAGAAAAGCTTTTGGGAACGGTGTTTCAACTTTTTAACCACGGAGTGAATAACAAATACATATCAGTTGTCCATTGTTTGTAAGTAAAAAGATCAAGATTTTGCCTCGGAAAGTATCACTAAACAGACTGTAGTCATGAATGAATCTCATAAATTTAAAATCAAATGAAAAAGTACAAAGTGAATAGACTTTTTCTCCTGCGACCATCTGTAAACTATGTTAACTAACATCATGATCTGTTCCTCGGAGTTATTGATTACGAACGCTTTTTAAATATTTCATATTTTATAATTTCAGCTAATCGTGATTATCATCGCCAAATTATTCAGAAAGATTTATTCCCATTGGGAGCATTGTTTGTTCGACGAAATATTGATTCACAGACATCAGTATTAATGCGACGGGTGAGTTTTCTATTTTTAAAGAAAAATGTCAGTAAATTATTCCTATGAATCTTATCGAAGTAGAGCTATCAAGCTCAATAAATGATAACACATTTTAATTTTGTCTGTCTCTTCCTCTCTAAAACATGTCCAACATAAAAAGACAACATTATGAAAAGTAATAGTTGATAAACATAGAGACAATGAGTGTTGCGAACTTTCTGTTATTTTAGCATTTTTGTTCAACATTTAAGCTTAATATTCTTTTTTTTAAACACAGAGGTAATGCGTCGCAATTTGTTATTTTTTTACCACTGTTCTTACACTTATTGAAGGTTTCCAGAATTAATATTAAGAGGTTTGGTGGATATTATAGTAATTTTAATAGTTGAGATCATGAGTCAATTGAAGCTAGACCACCATGGAGTTCTAGTGAGAAGCAGTGACCAGTGGAGTTCGACCGGGTTAGTTGTGAGATAGTAACTCACTGAAGACAATGGTGAATGTGTTGCTCACTTTCGTGAATTAGTTGAAGTTAGACATTAACACCATTGGATGCCGACTCAGTGGTCTCGTTGGTTAAACACTCGCGCGCGAGACTGATAGGTCGTGTGTTCGAATATAGCGAGGCAGAATCGTGGGTGGGCACTGTTGAGGAGTCCCATACTAGGACGAAACGGCCGTTCAGTACTTCCAGGTTTTCTATGGTTGACCCATGATCCTAGGATTGTTAATTGATTTATATGGCGTACTAGGAAACAAATATTACACGCAACTATCAAATGTTTATTAAGTATAGAAAATTGTAATAATTAAACCGTTGCTAAGTCCTGATACTAATTGTGATTTTTTCGGATTTTTTTCATTTAAATAAATTATTAATAATAGTTCGGTGACCCTATCGAAGACCTAAATCAGAACCTTCAGCTCGCAGTGAGCATTTAGCTGGTACACGAAAGCGTACATCTTCAACTTTGATCAATTCATGATATTGCGCAGTTATGTTCTATTGAATGTAATGGTAACTGCTTCTTTAATGACATGGTTCAGTGGTCTGGAGGTTAAACGGTCATCGCGAGATCAAATGTCCTGCGTCTAATCCACGATGAAGCCATGTATGCATATTACTGATGAGTCCTATACTAGAACAAAACAACTGTCCAACACTTCTTGCTTTTCAGTGGTTGTCTAACTAAATTACTCCGTGATTGGAAACGTGAAAGGTTCAATAATCCCTTCAAACTTTCTACACTATTAGTAGATAATTTGTTGAATAAATTTTAAAAAATTCCGAATAATTCATAATTAGTATCAGTACTTAGCCAACAGTTTAATTAATACAATTTTCTATAATTGATACATATTTGATAGTCTTGTGAAATATTTTTTGATGTTTATTGTAATGTGACTATGGTTGTTTGTAAATCTTAAATGTTAACTGGTTCAACTTGTTGTATTAGTTCGTTTTTCTAAAAGAACTTTCTAAGTTAAAGTACACGAAATATAGTGCATAATCTGTAGAGTTCAGTATTTATTATCTCCGTTCATTGATCTAGCTAAAACTGATTCGAATATCACGTGAAGCCCTAGTTGCTACAAGATTTTAAGTGAACCTTGTTAACGAATGCCAGTTAGCTCAATATCTATATTGAACAGCAGCATTCAAACAATTATAAGAGGGGTCCTATCGAGATAACCTACAAACACCTAATACGTAAAAAGAGTGATGTAATTCTCGTCAAATTTACTTACTAAGAAGTATGCTGAATATAATTAAAATATGAGAAGATTCCTTTCAGAAAAGTTCTTTGATCTCCCTGTATTGTTTACTGCAAAAAATGAATGCTCTGTTGAAATAGTCTTTTCATGTACTTTGTGTAATGATTTGGAAAATATATAAATCTTAAGTTATATCTTGTACACGGATCTGTAGATCAGGAATCTATGTGAGTAATTTTATGACATGTTCAATTTCGCATCCTGTGATATCCTATGACCAGTCAAATATCACGTGACAGATTCGCTAATCAGAATACTGAATCCTATTGACCATGTCCCTATGCCAAAACAATGACGTCTTAAAACAGCACTAGCAGCTTTGACTCAAGTCTGAGTCCTTATTGGTCCTCTGTATAGTAACTTGTCGTCTAACCCATTCCGTTCAGTCCAGAACACAAATATTAACCTCCGCCATATGAGTCGTATGTTTCAGGTATACGTTGTTTAGATATACGTAGATCATGCCACATCACACCATAAAATGAGAAATAACAATTATATAAGTTCAAGCCAAAAGTGTATGTGAGTGTGGCATACTGTAACTGATAAATTGGGAATAAATGAAGAATAGTTAATCGTATACTGGTAGCTGATTGGTCAAATGAAAGTTTATGATTAAAAAAATATGAATATGATCTAGTTACTTAATAATTATCCAATAAGAATATGTGTAATAATAGTTCATAAGTAATTCCTAGCAATTACCATTTATTTATTCTTCGTTCGAGTATAACTCATCGTCTATGTATAGATTATTTGTTCATCGTGATAAGTAACATATTGGTTTCTCATCCGTAGTTTCATGTATAATCCCAGATTCCATCTTCCAAATAAGTGTAAATGTTCTTTTTTTTTTTAGAAGAAAACTGGATTTTCAAGAAATTCTCAGTTATTTGCACATATTAGTACTTCTCTTTCTTTATATCTTCCTATTATTTTCTAGTGTATCCCAGAAGGTATTCAACAAACCAATACCTATCCTAGCAAATCTTTTATTCCTCTGGAAACCTATCAAATTCCTCAACAACGATTTCTCTGTATGTTTGGTGATGATGAGTCTTCCACTGAAAATTCTTTAATCCAACTATTACAGATTTTAACCGATGTTACATTAAAATTTTTAAATAATCTATTAAATTTATCATCTGTGGATAATAGCTCTACAATGTCAAGAGAATCAATTTTATTTCAGAATTGTTTTGTTGTCTGTCGTCTACTTGGTCGTATCTGTTGGCATATTTCAGGTGATCGAATTCGTCAATGTTTCATTCCCGATGGAAATATTTACGAATCTGCACTTTTTAAATTCCTAACTAACTTTTGTCAACGTCTTGGTGATCAATCGTCTCTTTTGAATGATATGATTATTGAATGTTTATGCCTTACTCTTAATAGTGAATGCATTCCTGATTGTCCACAGACCATAAAAACAGATAACTATGGAAATATTGAAAGGTATAAAATGGTAACATTGTGATTTTCAATTCCTTAGTTTTGCTATTTGTAATTGTAGTATTTATGTAAAGAGAACTGGATTGAAATAATCATATACGAAACTTGAAACTGCTTAGGAATTAAATGTCATGATCCAAATTGATTTTTCATAGAATATATTGACTAGAGTTTTTATGAGCTCATTTTGTCTAATTATCGGACAGACTATCAGTTCACACCATTTACATTTACAATATTTCTTTTCAATGTTATACCTTTAATATTCTTCTTACTTTATTTCTTTTTTGCTTCTTTTTAGTATTGATCTTCATAAATCTCAAAATAAATCGTGGCCTTATCCAAACAATTCTGTGGTAAATTATCACCTACAACAAACTACAGATTTATTATGGCACTTATTACCTAGCCAATTATTGAACAGAGCACAGTCTATTTTACTGAAACCATTTGATCAACATCCCATTGATCATAATCATGCACAAAGAAACAGACTTAATACATGTTTAGCAACATCATCAAACAACAATGGTCATTTTGTATTATGTGAAATATTTTCTGAATGTATCAATCTCATGTTGAAAGATGCTAAATCTATTGGTCAACTGAATAATAATAATAAGCTACAATCGATTCATGATAATTTGTCTGGTCAACATCCATATCTTACAAATGTTTTGTACCTATTCTGTGGAATTGTTGGTGAACCAAATTTCAAGTAAGTTGAATTTTCTTATGTAGAAATAAGTTGTGAAAAAGTTTGATGTGAGCGAACCTTGGACATAATATAAATTTATAAAGTCGTCGATTGTTGGTATGATCCATATTAGTAATTGTATACTTAACTGATTGTTAGGTTCGCGAAATGATCATAACTAATGAATCGGTACTATTGTTCATCAGTACTTGAAATAGTTCACATACGTTTACTTATTTTCCTCCTTTCTCAGATTTAAAAAAATTATTTTGCTGTCTTTATTCTCCCGACTTATTCTCTGTTCTCAAAAAATCTCTATCTAGTGTTTTTACTACCACTACTTTTTCTAGTCACCTTGATAATCTTTATCTCGATCTTGATGTGATGCCGATGCATATATATCCCGGTTCCTACGTTGCTAATGACTAACTGGTTGACATATATCTTTAATTCTTAACATATTTTCTTATTGACAGGCCTTCAATTTAATTCGATTCAATACAGCATTGAATTATTAGTTAAAACATATCAGTAATTCGCAGGTTTTCTAGTTGAACCCACCTAAGAGTGCTGTCAGTAATCTTCATATAAACTATTTGGTTCAAATTCGAGCATATAAAACCTTATGCCATTATAAACTAATTCGCTCCTCTCTTGTTCTTTTTTTTTACTTATAGACCCTGGAAACTTACTTCAAATGATGAAACTTTTAAAAAATGCCAATGTTATGTAAAGGTTAATCTTCAAATAAATATTCAGTTGGAAAGTTTACAAAATGTCTTAAAATTATTGGAAAACTTTGTTCAATCAATGAAAAAGACACAAACAATTGATCAACATTACCTATCTTCAAAATCTGTTGAATTTTTGCGTAATTTTTATACATTGTCTATTCATTTTTTGGCAATATCAGCTGAATCATCAGATCTACGACTGTACATATTAGAATCTTCAAGTTTTTCAATATTTCTAAACACTATACTTACAGATTATTCACTAAGAAATGGTGTAAATCGTTCATGTACATTAGCCTTAGAAGTACTATTCACATGGTTTGCATATTCATCAGTGAAACTAATAAATTCTGATTGTCATCCATTTGATAAATTTTGTCTCGACCAATTAATTGGTTTGTTTCCAAAGGCAAATACTTCAGCTCAGTAAGTTTTTAAAAATGGCTTTGTTTGTTTGTTTGTTTTAGGTTAACAAAATTGTTCTAAAATATTCTTTTCAATACTTTAAGTAATTTTTACTTGTATACTAAAGAAATGGATTATTCAATATGTTGATTAGTTTGTCCATCTGTTGGAAAAATGTTTACTTCCTCTCTTCCAAAGAACTAACTTTATGGCTGAATGTTATTTAATATCAGGAGGAAAATCGTTTTTCACACTCCAGGTTATAATTTCTTCTCTCATTCTGTACTACTACGTCTATGATTTAGCATCTTAAGCTTTGGCCAATAATATGCATAAGACCAAAGTAATCTTGACTTCTATTAGTCTCCCGATAAATATGTACGTATTATTTTATAAAATAATTTCGAATGTCTCTAGTTCTTCAGTATTCACTACGTCACAGTTCAATAAATTGAGTTTTAAAAGAAAAACATTTTCCTGTTCCGTTAGACAGCTAGACTACATATGATAGTATAGAACTTTTTTAACCAGTTGTAACTAATTTGAATAAGACAATTGCGAATTTACAAAATATACCACATATGTATGAAGTAAGTTCATTTTTCTTATCTAACAAGGAAACAACATGAAGATCTGAACACTCTCCTTCAGTTATTATCAATTAATAAATATTAGTTTTTTCTTATCAGTAATAAATGACCAATCATATTGTAGAAGGGATTGTTAACCACAATTCTTCTGCGATGTTAGTGTAATCCCAAAGTAAAGCTTTTCTCGAGAATATTAATGATTGTCATTAAAGTGTTTGGAGGTGTACTCATTTATTTATTTAAGCACATAAACATTGGTACAATGAAGCACTAAATATATATGCGCCACACTTTGTCATCCTATTTCTGTGAGGGTTGAAATACTGATCGGGTGCCAAAACCAAACCAGTTTGTTTTTTAGCGGGGGCCACTCCACGAGCTTTTGACCTAAGGGTCTGGTCCACAAGTCAGTAGAGCAACGTTAGGAAATGCATTCCCATGGTAGCTGGTAACCAACAATAGGTTCATATGCCATTTATTCCCTCAGGATCCTGGAGCCAATGTGCACCAATGATTTAGATTCAGGGTTTTCCAACTACAACCCGTTTAAAGCACTAGACATTAGCTTTTCATCCTCTCAAGCAACACCCCCCCCTCCACTAGAAGGCAGTAAATAGAACTTTCCTGGTAGTGGTTGTGTACGAGTGGCCATGTGAGATCATTTCGTGAGAGAGGGCAGACTCTCCTCACCTTCAACCGTACTAGAGCATTTGGGTGTGTAAGAGTTGTTTGAATTCAGTCATCATTACGTATAACTACAGCTTAATTTATTGAAACTTAATATCTTCCCCATTTATAACCTTATATTATTATGTTTTTCCTTTGTTATATTCATTTTATCCTTAAAAATAGGATTATTGAAGGTCCATGTGATTTACAAGCCGTTCTTTTAACAGCCATATGTTCACGTATTAAATCATTCAATCAAGCAAACACTGTTGACAATGATAATAATGATTCTGATTCACTCCAACATGAAATTCAAACAACCATCACCACATGTTCCATGCATACAATATCAAATTTGCCAATTGATTATCTTCTTCAACTTGTACAAATTTTATTAAATTATCTATGTGGTCAGCTTGTTGAGTTGAATCAACAATCATCAATGAATAATAATAATAATAATAATATTAATAATAATAGGGCTTATTTGTCATGTTTTTCATGTTATACTACTGTTGTCGATGAAGAATATGAATCATGTCATAAAAATTTCACCTTATGGTCCACACTAACTAGTAATCATATACGACGAAGATTAATTAGTGATCCTTCTAAAAATATTGTACAAAATCCGAATGATCAATCTTCAACTCCTACTAATACTACTACTAGTACTACTACACCATTGTCAAATTGTTCCTCATCATTTATTCGACAATTAACCTGTTGTTATTTATATGGTTTATGCTCTACAAGTGGAATGTATTCACAAATTCTATCCAATAAAACATACAATGATAAATGTTTAGCATTGATTCTTGGAAATCTTTGTAGAATTCTAACAGAAACTTTCAATAATATACATGATAAACATGACATAAAAGTATTTTTTATCAAAAATATTAAATTATTTATATCCTCATTAAATTTTGCTCATATCAGTTCACCTATGAGTACAATGATAACATTATCTTGTATGATTAATGGTTGGAAAACATTGAAACATTTTACTCAGTTAATTATTAATCATTTTAAACCATTTAGTATATGTGATTGGTTATTTTATTGTGTAATTATTGTTATGCAATCTTTGGATTCTATGGATTCTTCGTCATCATCATCATCATCATCATCAATGGTAATGTCAAAATCTACAGTTACATTCAAAACATACTTGTTACAATCGCTTATATCTCCAATTCCTTTAAATTCATGCCCATTATTTCTATTATTAGCTTTATGTATTGAATCTAATTTAGAATTACACAATAATGATGATAATAATCATGCAAATATTATTTTCAATACTTTTATAAATGATACTAATAATCGCAAATCTATTAGATCATCTACATCTTCCATTATTTCTACATTATCTTCTTTTGATAATACAAAATTATATACAATCAATACAATTGAATTAGGTCAAGCTTTATTACAACAATCATTTCATTATAATATTCCATATTATCAACAATCATCTGTATATAATTTTCAATATTTAACTAATTCATTACCTATTGGTTTATTTGGTCCAATTCATTTATTCAAACAATCTTCATTAGAATTTCATCAAAATATTGCCAATTTCAATTATCCTTATCAACATCGTTTACAATCAAAACAATCAACTCATATTAATACTAATTGTCAATGTATGAATTTACTTCAATCGAATCAACATAAACCTATGAAAATCAATTCTTCTTCTTCTCAAGATGATATTCTTGATGATAACAATGAAGAAATGTATTGTACTTCAATGACAAATTATCATAAATCATTCATTGATTTTGCGCCTATATCTTTTATTTATTCTGATATATTAGATGAACAAATGACATCATTATGTCAAACATTATCTATTATGAATAGTCATAATGATAATTGTGAAAATATTATATTTCCATTATATTTAGGTTTTTCATCATATTCATTTGCACCGAAAATAATGTCTACATCAAATCTTCTAAATGATGTAAACGATTGTAATAATAATACCAATAATAATACTAATAATAATAATAATGATAATAACCATTCTTCAAATCAAATTCCGGAAAACTTCAATTTGTCAGATTTTATTAAAACTAATTTTGTTTTTCATAGTAATAAAGAATCATTACAGATTATTGTAAGATTTCCATTTTTAGTACAATTAGAATGTGTACAGTTGTCAGTGATGAATCCATTTCAATCAGGTAAAATCATTATTTTAATAGTTGAGATCATGAGTCAATTGAAGCTAGACCACTATAGAAAACCTGGAAACACTGGACAGCCGTCTTGCGAGATTCGAACCGAGGATTGATCGGTCTGGCGCGTGAGCGTTTAACCATTAGATCACTGAGCTGGCATCCAACGGTGTTAATGACTAACTTTAAGTAATCCACGAAATTGAGCGACATCCATCTTTGTCTTCAGCTAAAGAGTCCTACAGTAGAACGAAACGGCCATCCAGTGCTCTCAGGTTTTCCATGGTGGTCTAGCTTCAATTGACTCACGATCTCAACTGTTAAAATTACTATATTATTCACAAAACGCCTTCTGATAAAAATCATTATTATGTAGTTATCTGAATATTATTATGATTGAAAGGTGGTTGTGTATTATAACGAATTTCTTGAGGTTAGACATGGAAACTACTGGATTTCGGCTTGGTGGTTTGGAGATTAAAAATTTACGAGCATATCCAAAGGCCTGGGGTTCAATTTTAGGTCGTGGATTGCCACTACAGAGGAGTCCCATACTAGGACGAAGGGGTTTTTTATTATTTCCCGGTTTGAAAACCGGGTGACTTTAACAAGATTAGTCTATAATATGAATTATGAAATTTTAACAGTATTCGCGAAAAAAATCCCACATACTGAATTCAAACTTATTTCTCTAGTTTTTCATATTTTTTGATTGTACGGGTTCATGTTTTTAACTGATTGGATTGAAATGTATGTATATTGTGAATTAATTTTATTACAAACAATCTTACAGAAAACTTCTATTTTTCTTAACGATTTTTCTCCTATAGCCAGTCATGTAACTATTGAGGTGGAACTATATCGCGATTTACCTGGTGGTTCTCGACGAACATTTATCAGTGCACATAAAAGTAACGAGTCATCATTGTCAAAACTTCATACGATCACTTTTCCACCACGGTTGGTATCACATGTTTTAATAAGACTGTATCATGCTCAGAATTACAATAAAACTCTTCGTGTGAACACTTTACGCTTATTAGGAAGACACGCAAATGATAATAGGCTGTTTTTCACAGAAACTTGTGAAAATAACTGCACAAATGCAAATAATTTAGCTGTTGAGAATTCGTTAAATAAAATCAGGTGAGTTGTTTACACGTTTGTTTGTTTCCTGCGATTATCAACCTCGTTTTTATAACTAAATAGTTTTTTTAATAAATAAATTTGCAAATAATTTGCACCATAAACATGCTTCGGTTGAGAAATAATTGAACATCGGGTAGCATCGCTCAGCTGTTACTATCAGTTAAAAAGAAACCTATCCAAGTCCCTATCAGTATTAAGTCCAGAACTTGTTTACCTAGCTACAAGTACACAATACCCTCAGAACACTGGTACTTAGTGATCCATATTTCAATAGTTAATCACTTTGGATTGTAATTGTTAAATGGTTTGGGGCAATCGACAGAAAACTGTACTCGAACTTGGTTTCGTACTTGTATAGATTCATTAGTAAGGTGTACATATAGTCTTCAAGAAACTGGTTTGCTGAGTGTGGAATTTAAACCAGGGTCACCTAAGTTCACAATCAGAGTTGTTATCACTAAGCTATTTGATACATTAAGACTAGTGGCTACATCAAAACTTGACAGATTGAATTCGTTCAGCACTACTATTTTATTTATTTATTTTAACGCATAGATATTGGTACAAGGAGGCACCAAATAGATATCCGCCACATAAATCTCACTTGATATGTGTGAGGGCTGTGATACTGTCTGGGTGCCCAAACCGAACCACGTGGTTTTCTTAGGGGACCACACCCAGAGCCTTCGACCTTAAGGCCTGACCCACAAGGTAGTGGAGCATCGTAAGGAGATGCAGTTCCATGATAGCCGGTCACCAACGATTGATTCATACACCATTTGTTCCTTCGGGATACTGGAGCCCATGTGACCATTGGTTTGTAATCAGGGTTTTCCAACTCTCTTAGGTGGACTCTCCATGTCCACCAACCCGGTTAAAGCACCAGGCATTAGCTTTTCGTCCTCTCAATTTCATAAACAACACCCACGCCACGAGAAGGCAATGAGTAGGACTTCCGTGGCAGAGGCTGTATACGCGTGGCTGTGTGAGGGCATTTCGAGAGGGAGGGCGGGCCCACCCCATTCTCGTTCAGCACTACAGGATAAGACGAATATGACATTGATTATAGCTTAGTGATCAACTCATTTTAAATCTTTCCTTTTGGAAAAAATCAAAGCTATACTACCTTATGTGTATTTATGCTTGTATTGTTCATAAGGACAGATCAGTGCTTGTTCAGTAGTCATACAACACATTCAGCTTTCAATTATAAATTTCCAGTTTAAAGACTCAACTATAATGAGTTAATTTTAGTCTGCTTCTTAATCACCTTTCATACCTAATTTTAACTCAAATATTGGTTTATACTATTAAAGACGTTTTATTATTTTAGTCTAACTATAACAAATATATTGCCTCACATGAAATGTTATGTAAGTACTACTAATATCTGCAATTAGTATTAATTTATTGTCATGTTTTTTAAGTTTGATCACTTAATTACATTTTTTAAAATCTTTCTCTCTTGTTTCTTTTTATTTACTTCTTCTCAGACCAATTGTTTTATTACATCTGTTACATAATGAAATGCTTTCACAATTATTACCAAATATATTCTATTCATATCAATTTATCAATTCATTATTACACTGTTTACATATTGTTAGTTCAGATAAAGTATTATCAATGTGTACACGTCAATTAATACAAATGGTTGCATGTCATAATCAAATTTTTGAAATGATCAGTCATATATATAATTTTACCAGTGATTGTTCATCTGATAATGAAAATAAGATATTACAAAATGAATGGTTTTATTCACCTATCGGTTATATTAATGAAGCTGATATGTTTTGGAAATTATGTCCTTCATCAGCTGTATTATGTGAACGTATTTTACTTGGATTATTGGTTAATACAGATAATGGTAGTAGAAATAGTCTTGCTAATTATATATTAACCAAATTACTAAATGGTAATAGCGATGATGACTTAACAATAAACTGTGAAGATGTATCATTCACAAGTGTGTCGAAATCAAATCAGGGTTAGTTTGCATTTTTTTTCAGTTACACAAATAGGTATTGTTCTACTGTTATACCAGGACACTACGTTGATCTTTTATGATGTTGTACAGGTGACGTCATTTCTAATTTTCTTAACAGCTTCGAATTAATCTGTTTCATGATCATAGATACACGGCATTTAGCTTTACCATCTAGATTTCAATACTCATTGACATGAGATACCTGTAAGCTTGTAGGGATGAATGTTTCTTGTAGGGTTTATTTCCATGTCACGGTCAGAAATATATCACTGGATAATCCATACCGCTACTAATTTCCTGTTAGACTGAGATGTTTATACTAGTCAGCCATTGAATACTAACCAATATAATATCATCAGCTGCTTTTTGTCGATCGAATTTCATTTGAACTCAATTTTATTTACTTTCTCAAAATTATAGACATACCGTGGTAATGAATACCAGCTACCAAGAAATGTAAAATTCAAAACTTCCTTTTAATTATCTTTGGCTAACTAAGACCAGAGTAAATTTTGCAACGATATCAAGTCATAGTCCATGGATTGCGTTGCATTTAGATTAGCACTTTGGATCAAACAGCATAGCATTGTCTCGTACTTTGTGATGGATCAGTGTCAGCAGTAACATTTATCTTGTTATTTACAAATTAATTTCGTTCTATTTAGTAATAAAATCATAAGTAGTGTATATTTCAAACATTTAAGTATATTACTTTTTTCACTGGAACTTCGTATTTATATTGCTACTTTTAAATAAATTAGCGGTTGCTTACATGTGATCACTAATCAATATCTACTCTTGTGTTACTAACATCTTCCAGGTTTACTACATTTAGATTAAATTCTACCTTAACTGATCACGGGGTAGTGACCAATATCATGTTTGCTTAGTTCGTTGTATTAATCGAATTCTGTCGATCAATTTACCATATGCTTACTAGTCGAAGCGACTCAAAATCACGTGTACTATATTGAAATGTTAGATGGTTGAAGGTGTAATCGGGAAGAAATCCTGGTATTGTACTAGTTGTCGCTCGTCAGTAAGCCATTCCTACACTAATGCTTCTTGGTGTTTTCGAACTCTGCTTCACAGTCTGCGATACCACCACTAGGTTATTCTATGTTTGTTGTTGTTGAATCTTGTATTTAATTGGATATAAGTTACCGTAAATATGTTATTTTCTATTACCTTTCATTTAGTAGAATTACTGTCTGTTCCAGGTATTCAATTTTAATTTAGCATTATGTAAAATTAATCAGGACCTATATGCTTTCAGTAGAGATAATTACTTCATTAGTTATCTGGTATTAATAGCTTTCACTCTTCGAAATGCTACTCATAAGTAATTGTGCTTAAATAACAACAAATGAATTTACATTATGCATTATTTTTGAAAATAAATTAGAAATTATATCTACATTCCTATACATTTTTTATCAGCAATCACTCCTATCAACATTGTCTACTTTTTGTAAATTCCGCCACAACCAGATATTTAAAAAAAACGTGTCATACAAATAAAATGATAGTGTTTTGAAGAAACAAATAACGGATTGGTAGTACAATCAATAGAGAATTGGATAGAAATAGTATTTATTTCGAGTAACAGTTTTTCTAAATATACAACTAAGATTTCTCCCTGTTATAAGGTTCAATATTACCTATTGACAGCTGAATCGTCACTGGTTTTCATCCTGAATCACTGAGTTGCACTATCTCTATGATTCTCTATGAGAAATTTTAGTGAACTGACGGATTTCAGTCCTGTACATTTACCTTTCATATCATGTCTCCTCCAGCCCTAGCATCTGGAAATAATATACAATGTACATGTTTAAGCCATTGAAGTCAGTGTTTTGAGATGATGATACTAATTGAATTATCGACACTCCGCTCCCCCCATATAATCTTATCTAATGTCAGACTTACTAACGCTCTGTTGCCACCGGATGTCAGGTATTCTTCGGAGACGACAATGGTTAAATGTAAAGAGTCGTCGAACATTATTAACTCGAAGAGGCCAGGTTTTGTAGGCATAGAGGAGAACTATTTTCATCCACTCATTATAAACCCAATCTTTTGAAGTCAGACTAATCTCACGACAGTTTCTTAGTTGGCTTTTATTGATATATCTCATCATGTTCATCTAAATAACTACTATTAATCAACATTTCAAACTATATACTACTTAATTATGTATTAATTCTTTTCTTTTGTGTGCATGTGTATGTGCTTAAATTATGACTATACAGATATAGATAATGAACTCAATTCATCTTATTGGTATGGTCCATTAGCTTCATTAACATCTACACCAAATCAACGTTTATTTGCATGGTTATGTTTACATCAAGATGCTGGACAATCTACACGTATTGAACGAATCATTAATTGGTTAAGTCACTTCAATGAATCTATGATAAAACAAGATATTCTTTCTCATAATCGTCAATTATTGAATCATTGGTCTCAATTAATATTGATTTTTTCAAGTGTTTTATGGAGTTTAAGTAGTGTTACTACCACTACTACTACTACTACAGCAATAGAAATGAATCAATGTTCAAATTTATGGCAAAAATATGTGACAATTGATTTTATTAGGTATGATTTATTACAATTAAAATGTAGATGAAAAAAGATTTCTTCGGACTAGTTTTTTTGTTTAATAGTTTCAAGTGTTCTTCTTCAGTTTCTAAATAAAACCCTTTGAGTGCTTCATTGAACGTATTTGGTAAAGTGTGGAAGTTTTGCTTCTTTTTTTTGGTTATTTCTTGTTGTTAATTCTAGGAATCATCAGTAAATATGATAAACTGATTAAACCACATAGTATATAAGGCAAACTCATATAATATGTCAAAATTGGTTTGGTAAGTCAGATGACAGTAATGACTCGAACTCATTACTCTTTGCTTCAAACTTCATTATCTTATTAATTAGTGTTTAAATCATCCCGTTGTTCATATGAGTATCATACCTGTTGCAAAAGCTCGTTAGATAATGTGTGGGTACTGGGTTCTAGTTTCACTGTTAAACATCAACACTAAGATGTAGGTACATCCAGTTGAAAAGTTTCAAACAGAATGAAATGCGCTTCCTAGATTCCAGTGCTAATCAAAATCTATTGATTAAAAAGATCTACTGAACTTTGTAGCTTTAAATCTGTATAAAATCTTAGAAAAATTGACACACTAGAGTTTAGTAAAGCCGATTCTTGGTGTTTCAAACCTCACTGCACTGAGGATTTCGATAGTTTTGCTAATCTTCTCATGCAAACGCTCCGGCTTAAAACCTCAGTAATACTAATCTGTGGTTAGTAAATGAGTTATAGTAATTCTTTTAAATTTATAAACTTTAAATCCACATATATTATAATGCGACATTATTCAATTCTCTCTCTCTACTTTTTGTTTTTATTCTTTCAAAATACCCTTTTCAGTTCTATTTATGATTTATACATCTCAATTATAAAACATTATCAAATTGATCTATCTATGAATGATATTGATGATGATAATACTAAGAACTTAATCGTTGAAATTAAACAATTTACCAAAGTACTAATCAATTTAATGTGCTCTTTATGTACAATCCAACCAAATGTCATCTCTATACTTTTATCAAAACTTTTAATAATTCCTACAACAAATTCATTATTTAATCAATATGATAAATTATTATTCAATAGTCAATTGAAAGTATTCAGTTCAATTCTATCATCAGATCATATTGTTTATTCTATTTTCTCAATTAATAAATCGATAAATACAACAGATCCATTTATATCAGATAATTTCTTTTATAATTGTTGTACATGGTTATCAAATTATTTCTCAATCATGAATAATTCTGAATCTTCTACTTTATATTCTTCCACTAGATTAATTCTTACCATTGATTTAGCTCTTAAATATTTATATATATTAAATTATTTCATGCAATCAAATCAATCTACAATATTACGAATTATTCTTGGACAATTAATCTGTGAACATTTATTTCCAAGTGTATTTTCTTATTTTACTATGATATTATCATCATCTTTAATTCAATCTATATCATTGAATAATTTGTATAATAATCATTTTGGTTCAAGTATTTATGAGATTCATCAACTTCAACAAGCTATAATTACTTTATATCAAACAGTTAAATTATCAATGCCATTTTCAAAATCATCTAAACAATTTAATTCATATCAGTTGAATTTAGAAAGTTCAAAGTTGAAAATGAATTGTTTAACTGATCGTTTAATTGAAACATTTAAAGAATCATTTATGAAGCAAAGTGAGTATGATTAAATCATGGTCAATATCACATTGATAATCTGTTTATTCTTTTTTCATTCAGTTTAAGTATCTGTTTAGAATGCGTGGTTTACTAGACGATATAAGGTTATTGCATGGATTATATTCAGACCTTCGAAGCCTAATTTTTTCCCTAGTGATTTACACTAATTATATGGTTAGTTCTGTCAAAAATATTGCTTCCTTCTCTGTTATTTCCATGACTGTGACTCCACAATATATCTCACTGGCAATGGTTGACATTCCCCCGGATGCACTAAGTGCTGATTGATAAGTTGGTTATATTTGTAGTCTCCCAATCTTCTCCCACGTTCTTCTGTTTATAAATGTTATGTCGGAAGCCGTATCTAGATGTAAGTGGCCATTATATCCATTGATCTTCAGAGAAACATGTTTTCTACGGTTTTAGGAGCCGGTCCTGTTAAGAGCTATCGTTACCTTGGCTATTTGCGTTTTGAACCTTTTAGAATATACTTTCGGTTATTGGAAACGTTTTCAGGTTTTACAATGACTTGTAGTGCAACGATAATTCTTAAACGGACAAAAGTTTTTGAAATGTCAACCGCCATGTAACCAGCATAGACGATGATGGCTTGCCTCTGTCATTACAATAATTTTGCGTGTTACGACCTTGCAAAACTTTTCTCTCGACTGTGTTCATGTAGTGAGGCCGGCTACCTTTCTCTACCGTCGAAATGTCGTGTTTCAAATTCACTAATCTTCGGCTTTCGGTAGTTACCTCCTGTTGGATAATCGTGGGACAATGTTCGAGTTTGCTTAGGGTTCTCGTTCATATGTCAGCATCCTCGGTTGAATGAGGCCTACAGACAAATATGATGCATTTAACCTGGTCTTCTGTCATGGAAGACAACTTGAACCCCTAATATTCCCGTATCATAATTCCTGAATGGTACACTCAGTCAGCTTTGGATCCTTTCGTTTTCTTCAAGCATTGGTAACGGATGTTAATAAGAGATGACTTTTCTCCAAAGATCTGAAACAGGGTTTTAATTGCTTCATTAATACTTAAGTCTCATGAGTTCTTTGAAAGAATGAAGATAATCTAGCGTTCATGTTCCGTCATTCTAAGTTTTCTTAAAAGTATTGTAACTTTTGAAGATTCGTCCAGTCTGCAAAGATCAATATGGAACAGATCTTCATATTTCTTGAACCATGAGTCGAAAGTAACACCTGCTACATCATCAAAATTAAATTCATAAATGGAATTAATAACTGAGTCGGTTAGTGTAACTTGTTGATAACCGATATGATGTGTCTTCTAAACACCTCAAGTGAAATTTTTATTTCTACTACTTATTTAGATAAGGCTTGATTGTGACAAAGTAAAAATAAGCATTCTCACATTTATCTTCTCTTCTCAATCTAAATTCTTCTTCTTGTCCATACTATTGGTTCTTTTTTCATTATTATTAATTATTTTCATTTCCTACGGTGGTATATGACAGCACAAACTGATCCGCCCCCAAATGCCCTGGTACGGCCGAGAGTGAGGAGAGTCCGGTCCCCCTCTTCAAATGCTCTCACATGGTCAGGCGTATATAGCCTCTGCCACGGAAGTCCTGCTCACTGCCTTCTCGTGGTGGGCGTGATGTATACGAAAATGGGAGGACGAAAAGCAAATGTCCGTCGCTTTAACCGAGTTGGTGGACATGGAGAGTCCACCTAGAGGAGTTGGAAAACCCTGATTACAAACCAATGGTGCACATGAGCCTCAGTATCCTGAGGGAACAAATGGTGTATGAATCAATCGTTGGTGACCGGCTATCATGGGACTTCATCTCCTTAGGATGCACTACTGCCTTATGGATCAGACCTTGAGGTCGAAGAATCCGGGTGTGGCCCTCTAAGAAAACCACGTGGTTCGGTTTGGGCACCCGGACACTGTCACAGCCCTCACATATATCAAATGAGATTTGTGTGGCGCATATGTATTTGGTGCCTCCTTGTACCAATATCTATGTGTTCAAATAATAAATAATAATAATATTGATATGTTTTTCTCTTTGAAATATGAAAACTCCCTTTATGTTACTTCACTTGGAGTGGTGGTTTAATGCTTGAGGTATTCGACTGTTGGCCATTGATCCTTAGATTCGAACGCCACTCCACACACCACTCTTTTGGAAGTCAGTTTCTGTCATTACCCCTCACATTTTGAGTGTGGCTAATACTTTATTACCTGGTGAATGAGGTGATTTGATTTTTTTTAAAATCTATTTTAATTGTAGATTTCAAACTATCCAATTTTATATCTGAACTATTATTGGCACAACCTTTATCATTAACACCTGTACCATTTAAACAAACAATTGCAGTATTCGCAGTCACTTCAAATCATCCACACGCATCGACTGATTTGCCATGGCCTATAACTGGTCCACCAGTTGCATTCAATATTCAGTCATCTGAACTACCTAAATCTGGATTAGTTACATTTTTATGCAGAGAAATCCATCAGTCTGTTTCAAATAACAACCTAGACTATTCCATTCATCCTAGTCTTTCAACAGCTTTATTATTGATCAATATTTATCATCCACCAGAATACACTGGAACTAATCATTATGAATTTGAAAGAAGAATTTTAGTGAAACATTTGAGATTAATAATTTATCATTTATTGCATCCGTTCACAATGAATCGCACTAGTAGTACTACTAATAATAGTAGTATCAATAGAAATGTATCAAGTTCAACTGAAATAAATACAATCAATGATTTTGAATTATGTCTTATTCAACATACACCAAATATTGGTCACATTATATCACCTATTGATTGGGATAATGGTATATTTTTACCAGAAGGTTATACAGATAATTGGACTATGGAACAATTGAATAAATTCACTGATGATCATCCACTTGTGATTAATCAGTCTCGTCTACTTTGTTTATTAATTCGACCATGTGAACATGCTAAATTTGTATTTCATTCACCAAAAGCAGTAACTGAACCATCATCATCATTAATAAAAGAATTTCAAGAGACCAATTCCACACCTTCTTGTTATTATTTATTAAAAACATTTCAATCATCATTTATATGTGAATTTTTAAAATCTGGTCTATTACATTTTATAGCAAATTCTATTGTTCATTGGCGTATTCCATGTTTATTAAATAATGTACAACAAAAAAGAGAAAATTCTATTTTATCATCATTAGAAACTCCTCCTCCTCCTCCTACTCCTACTACTACTAATACTACTACTACTACTACTACTACTACTACTACTACTACTACTACTACTACTAATACTACTACTACTACTACTACTAATACTACTACTACTACTACTACTACTAATACTAATACTAATACTAATACTAATAATAATAATAATAATAATAATAATAATAATAATAATAATAATAATAATAGTAATAATTGGAATCAATCTGTAAGACAATTTCATTCTTATATTACTTTCTATTTTAATAAATTTTCAATAAATATTCCCAATAAATTCTATAATTATAAATTAGATCACTTAATAATTAATAATTATCAATCCATTCCAATAAACAGTAATCTTGATAATATTGAAACAATGAACATGATTCTGCCAATACATTGTATCATTACTTATATATTATTATTAAGAATAACAGATTATGATTATAATTTATTAAATTTAATTCAATCATCAATGAAAATTATGGAATTAATAATTAAATATCAATTAAATTTAGTTTATGTGCCAAGTTATTTAATTCAATTAGCTAATAAATATTCTAATTTATCATTATGGACAGATGATGATCACAATTTCCATATAAATAATTATCCTACTTATAATTTACAAAGTAGTAATTTAATTCATTCAAATATTTTACCATTTCAATGTTTATGTTATTTATACGATAATAATAATAATGATAATAATAATAGTAATGTTCGTGGTAATGGTCATCAATCTCTATGGGAACTACGTTGGATACATTTAAATTCTGGTGTATTACAGCTTATCTTAAGTTTCATGTATGTTTTATCTCATGGTTCATGTGTAAATTTACCGCAAAGATTTGATGTGAATGAAGTGAAAACATTTATTCATTCAATTCAGTTAGATTGTAATAATAATAATAATAATAATAATAATAATAATAATAATAATAATAATAATAATAATAATAATAATAATAATAATAATAATAATAATAATAATAATAATGAAGATGATTCATTATCGCTGACTATTCAATCAATCAATGAACTTTATATACATTTTATCAAACCAGCTTGTATAGATTTCGAACGTGAATTATTTCCTTCAATAACAGTATCTAATCAAGATAATAATAAAAAGTGTAAACAAAACACAAATTATCAATCATCTCATACTAATTTCAATTCAATACCTTCATCATCTGGATTAATATCTGATAAAATAAATTCTAATTTATGGGCAAAAGGTACAGGTTTTGCTACAACTCCTACAATAAATGAAACATCAATTATAAATGATCATTCAATTAATAATAATCATAATCATAATTTTCAATCTAAATGGATCCGATCAAAACTTCAACGTGAAGATCAATATGCAATTATATTATGTAATACATTAAGTGGATATTTGTCTACATTTATGCAAAATTTAATAAATACTGATCAATTATTCGAATTAATTATTATTTATTTTATTCATAAATTTAATTTAATTAATTTTATCATTAATTATTTACGTAATGACTCTATCACAGAAATAATTAATCGTCATTTATTATATCAATCAATATTTCAATTAATTCGTATGATTATTTTATGTCCTCGATTACATTGGTTATTAACAATGATTCAAAGTGATTTAAACAATGATAATCTTGTTCATTATAACAATAATTTATATCAATGTTTCATTTTACAATCATTTCATTCATTTCAATTATATTGGCAAAATATTAATTTGAATGATGATGTTGATGATGATGGTAACGATGATAGTTTAGTGGAGAATTTAAATTCGTCATGTATTATTGTCTTAGTGAAACATATACTATTCTATTTGTCAAAATATAAGGAACAATTAAAGTAAGTTGAATGGGGGTTTTTTTTTCTTAAAAAAATATTGTATTTAAGTATGAATCAGTTAGCAACAATATAAAACTTCATACGTACGTACGTGCATCAGTTCAAGTTGCCATACCACATTAGCACAGGGATACAATTGTCTATTCAAATCCCATAGTGGTAAAGGTAGGTAATTTTTTCTGGTTAGCGGTTTTTTAGCGAGTTAGTTTTCTACAGGATGGGGTCGCTCACCCCATGCCCAACCCTCCTCCTTTTACCGGGCTTCGGACCGGCAGTAGCCCCCGAAGGGACTTCAGGCAAAGGTCTCAACATACACAAAGGAAAAATCAAGATTCTTTGATACAACATAACATGCACCAATCGAATCTCACTTGATAGAGAAGCTCTGCATATCATCATTGATGAACATGGATGGATCTGATGCAGATGTGAAGGCGCGGATCGGTAAAGCAAGAGCAGCATATTTACAACTGAAGGGCATCTGGAACTCAAAGCAACTGTCAACCAACACCAAGGTCAGGATTTTCAATACAAATGTCAAGACGATTCTACTGTATGGGGCGGAAACCTGGAGAACTACGAAAACCATCATCCAGAAAATACAGGTGTTTATTAACAATTGTCTACGCAAAATACTTCGGATCCGTCGGCGGCCTATGCTCCATTTGGAGTAACAGGCGTAAGTAAGAGGTAGGTAATAAAAGTATAATTAGTAATCGGAAAGCTTAGTGTTTGAAGTATCACATCCTAGTTTTTAGAAATCTTCAACTTGCTATATCAAGCCGACAGGCCAATTTATTCATTCTACTTCAGGCATATTTTTCTCTTTGTTAATTATTCTCTTATCAACCTTGATTGTTTTTATGTAAACGTATGTGTGCATTTTTTCAAATCTTACTCGTCACATGTTCGTAACTTATTTTTGTTCGACTATAAATATCGATTCACACTTGGTTAATTGGAGTTGGCTCATTCGTCTTCTTCATTGCGTGTCATTTCGTTTAGTTTCGCTTTACGATCAACGATTGTACGAAATATATGTACTCAGAAATGTATTGTCGTATTTGAGTTATTGAATTCCGTTATTTACTAACTCAATGATTATATATGAGGATTGGTGACATATATGATTCAATAACAATCATTCGAACGATCTAACTGGAATCAGATCTCGTGCCACTAAAACCTTTGATCAATAAACAAGAAGAAAGAAAATACTAGGCGGATAATTTACAAGTTATATTTCGAAGACTAAACTTTATTCAGAAGAAATAGAAGTGTTTATCAGATTCTAAGAGCTTCTTGAAAAAATGTTCTGAAATCCGCAATGAATGTAATAGTTTCAAAGTATTACAGATTCTAATTGTACAAGTTAAAACAAGATATATAATTGGACGTTATTGTTCTTAGTTAGATTTTCACTAGACTTTAATACACAGTAGTATTGGTACACTTATAGGCGAAACATAAACCAGCCAAAGGTAATCTAATTCAATCAATGGTAGTAATGACACAAAATACACATTATCCATAATAAGTTATGATTATAAGCAGTAAAAAACAGATACGTAATGGTGTGAGTAATTAGTCAAATCACCCGTCAAATCGTATCAATTCAAGGAAGTGATAGAGGTAAAATACAGATTATGTATGACAAGAGGCTAAACGCTGTTACGGAGGTGTGGTAGTATATATTTATCATTTGTAAGGATTTGTTTTTCTCTGCCATATGATTATCACAGTCAATTGTGTGATAAAACAGAGCTTTGTGTCTTTCTGAACTATTCATTCACTTTTTGACTTGATTGCTTTGTAGTATACTTGACGCAAGAGCAGCTGAATCGATAACTTCAAAATAAACTGGCAAAAATGTAGCTCCATATTTGAGTAAAACTTCATGACGGTCTAATTGAAAACAATCTTATTCTCCTGTTTTTCTTTTCCCGATTCGGTAGTTAACCACTTTTCAAACCTTTCTTGTAATTTTCTGAAAAAGTGTTCACAGCATTCTTCCTGCATTCTGGGGAGCTTTTGAATAATTATTGTGGTCTCCTACAACCAACTTTTTTCAAAAATGATAAATCCAATAGTTATTAAAGGTCACAGATACTGAAACTGAGTGGTGATCAATGTTACATTTCTCTAGTTCTTTAGTTCTGATTGGATTCTGCCAAGCAACTTGTAACGTAGCTACTAGTTAACCGACGTCTCCTAAACAATGTGGAATGATTGAACTTGATCTACAGAAAACCCTGTTCACTCTAGGTTTCGTGTTGGTCGACACTCTAGAAATCTGTACCTGGAATCCTAAGGGACTTCATGTTACCTTTGCGAATTCGGACTCGCTTCACAGTCTGATCTGTTTCCAGAGTTACCTGTCGACTGCCTTCAACAACTAACGGCTTTCCACGATGATTGTCCACTTCAAATATCAAGTTTACGGTAATTACATTTTATTTGTAATAACTGTTTCATCATATCATTATTGAATATTCCTTTCTTTCTATATTTGCAATCGAAGTGAGACTAAATCATCTTGCTGTTTTTATCTCTCTCCATCCACCTCCGTCTTATTTAAATAGCAAATTGGGATTGATAATTGAGCCTTCTGAATCGGAGCAACCGTCAAAACAAATTACCTCTAAGTCCAACATTGAATTACACCCGACTAGTCCTACCAATACACATATTAGTAGTGGTGGTCTTATTCGCCGTTCATCAATACGATATCGTAATTTTCGTAAACAGCACATTAATGAAAATTTACTAAAAAATATACATTTTAAAAGTCAAAACGTGTATAAATCATCCCAAACATTCAACACTACTGATATTATTAATTCTCATTGTTCAACTTCTAAAACCTATGGTTTATTACAACTGAAATCTGGTTTCTATGATCAGTTTGACGTTAGTGACAGTAATACTAATCAAATGAGTGGTGGAGACAGAGATCAACTTTATACGTTAATAGAAAGTAATGTTGAGATCAACTGTGATGATGACGATGATAATCTTAACACTGCTTCTGAAAATGTTCATGATATTCATTCCGAGGTAGAAAAAGAACAGGACGAAAACGGAAATTTTCATTGTGAGGTTATTGAGAATTTAACCGAAAATGGTAATCATTCTCAATCGATTGGTAAAGAGAATAATCTTGTAAATGGTGAATTTCATAGTCATTTTCAAAATGATATATTGGATGATAATCCTGAAAGTACTAACCATGAATTCAACAGTGATAGCAGTTCAACATATGTAAATCAAGAGATCCTAATCATTTTTAATGAACTCGAAACCACATATAAACTGCTTAAATTAATTTTGAAATATCAACAGTGCTCTGGAAATAAATCATTAATAATGATGAATAAATGTCATCATAATGAGGAAGATAAATTTACTAATAATGATCACAAAACTACTTTACATGAAATACGATCAACTGAATATGGTAACGGCAGTGATAGGAATGGTACACTACAGATTCAAACTTCATCAATTAATTCAAAAAAGCTTTCAACCAATAATGCTTATTGTACAGCTTTAAAATCTATACACTTTCGTAAGTTCAGTAGTCAATGACACTTTGTTTTAATTAAATAAATCAATGTTTATTAAATGTTTTTTTGTAATTTAAACACTGAATTAATTATCAGTACTCTGTAAGTTGGTGACTACAAACAAGATTATGTCTTTATAGTTTTTGTATGAAGTCTAATGCCATTACCCTGATGAGTAGGTATCTGACGAAATATCCGTATTAGTTCAGAAAGCTGGGTTGGCTTTTGATAACGAATTTACTGCGCTACAGTTCTTTCCATTCTACTTAATTGCTGTGAAGCATGACATTTCAAAAATAGAAAATATTCATAAGTTACTGGTATTCAACTTTGTCTTTGAAGCATTACTCGTATATCCTTTGACTATCAATTTAGCGGTTTTGATGTTAGACGTAAAGGTACTAGATAAGAATGGAAAGTCGGTTGATGACGTAGCTAATCTTTGCCGATTAAGATGATCAGGACGTGTGTTGCGTATGACTAACCACCGATGACGTCGATGGGCAATGTTGTTTGGTATAGAAGTAGAAGCTAGAAGCAGCTGAATCAAGACATGACACTGGTTCTTTAAGTCACTGACTATTGAACTGAACCATATAGGTAGGTGCCGATTACCGAATAGCGGTTCGCGCGATTGTTGTAACCAATTTTCAGACATTTTGGGCGATGTAGCTACAATAATCCAGAGGCATTCATCCGTAGTTTTACTTCAGATTTCGAATTTACTAATTACCTTATAAATTTTCTAATTCTACGGTTCCATATTTTCTTCTTAAATCATATCTTCTAAATTCAATCTTTTCTGTTACTGCTAATACTGTTATTACCTAATACTCTGGGATTTGCCTTGATAATTTCATCTCGCTATGCTTATGGAATGTGACAACCTGAACGAATGTAGACATGTACCAAACTCTACGTTACGTATGAATGACTGATTAGAGTACTTACCAAGCTTCTACTCTGGCACTTAAATGTCAAACATTCTAACCACTCAATCAACGCTTCACTATCCTATAAAACCAAACAGTTAGCTTGATTGGACTATTTTACGTGATATTTCAACAAAATACTTGGTATAAATTAAATACAAGTAATGTAACTTTTTGAACACATTTTACGTTATAAACAACACAGTCGAACGGCGGCTTAGTTTGGCTCAAAGGTTTAAATCACTACTTCACTTATTTCCTTTCATGTTTTTGTTTAATAGTAGTATCACTTACCCTCACACATAAAAGAGTATTACTCCAAGGGCAAGTACATAATTCTACTCCTATTTAAAAGATTATATTAAAATAGTGGTTATAATTTCCATATCTCTTTGATGTTACCATAGCTTTATTAGCCATTACAATTGTCTGGATGAAAGAATGAAATGTGGATAAACATCATCAACAAGACTTTATCGGTATGATTGTTTCGAAATGATTTATCTACTGAGATGGTGGAGAAGATTTGTAGCTCAGGTGGATGATTTTGGTGGAGTTTTGCTTTCTGAGCTGGATGGTTTGGTCGTGGAGCTTTCATCGTTCTTCTGAACGACATCATCAGCACAAACTTCAGATAGAAGTGAAGTGTTTGAATTTCTCCATATGTGTCTCAAAGCTTGTTCTGTGCACCTCGACGTTGATTGGTTCTTATTGACCTTAAATTTGTCGTTGTTTACTTCTTTGTTTTGGTTGTGTCTCCCATTGTTTTGATTTTTGTTATGTTTGTGCATGATTTTTCTGATTGGTTGATAAATTGGATTGATTTCAATATGCTTGTTGATTGCTGATTGACCTGAGTGCCAGGCTTCTAAAAATTCTCTGGTGTTTTTGGAGTTTCCTCTGTCTAAGATTTCCACATTTTTCCAGTCGAATGAGTGTCCGCAGTTGTCCACGTGTATTGAGATAAGTGAAGAGATATCATGCCGTTTGACTGCTAATTGATGTTCATGTAGGCGAAGGTGAAGGGGGCGTCCACTTTGTCCGATATAGTGTTTTTCGCAGTTGGCACAATTTATCTTGTAGATGATGTTTGATTTGTTTTCCTTTGTTATTTCATCTTTTGGTTTTCATAAGATTGATTGTAGTGATTTTGTCGGTTTGTGTGCCACACCTATTCCGAAGGTTTTCAGCAGTCTCGTCACGGTTTCTGATATTCCTTGTATATATGGTAGGGTGATCCTTTTGTTGATTTTTGTGCTTGACTTGAGTTCTAATGCTGCGTGCGGTTGGTATTTTTTGATGAAGTTGATGGGGTAGCCGTTCTTCTGAAATACATCTTTTAGGTATTTCTCTTCATTTCTTCGTGCTGCCAGTGTGCTGCAGTGTGTCCTCGCCCTCTTGAACAAATTGTGTACGCAGTTGATTTTGTGAGCTCTGGGGTTGTTCAGAAGAACGATGAAAGCTCCACGACCAAACCATCCAGCTCAGAGAACAAAACTCCACCAAGATTTATCTACTCTTAATTGTAAGCTTATTCTTTCAGCTCGTTTATTTTTTGTTGACTAAAAACAAATTACCAATATACTAGTTTTGATCTTAGGGAGGAACTATCCTAATAGCTTGACTAGTAATCTATTATCCATACGGTTATTGTCTGAACAAATAACCTTTTCACTGGTTGAAATCATGAGTCAATTGAAGCTAGACCACCATGGAAAACCTGGAAGCACTGGACGGCCGTTTTGTCCTATTGTGGGACTCCTCAGCAGCGCGCATCCACGGGCCCGCACCCAGCGAGTTTCCAACCCAGGACCTAACAGTCTCGCGCCAGTGCTCCCAGGTTTTCCATGGTGGTCCAGCTTCGATTGACTCTTGATTTCAACCAGTGAAATTTCTAAAATCTCCACAAAACCCCTTCTGAAAATAACTATTTTCCAAAAAACAATAAGCAGAGATCATATGATGATAGTAGTACAATTATCTGCATCGGAACGTGTCTCCAGCTCAAAAACGTATATGCTTAAGTGTGTGAACATTTAGACTACAATCCACTATCATTAAGAAAATGCACTATGTCAAAAATAGAGTATTCATGATAAAAATTGAGAACAAAACCTTACCCTGGTGAGGCTACTTTTTACGAAAAAAAAACTAATCATATAACTGCTCGTGTATTTCCGAGTGAAATTCACTCATCCATATATCTACTAAACATTTTTAAATTATAGCTGATGCCAGTTCGTGATAAAAACCCGAACCCTAAATACCTAACCTTTACTATGAACAATATGTAAATTCTTAAAAAATGTGTTCAGGCTATTTTAAGAGTTCAAATAGAGGGATAGTCTATATGTTGCTTTTTTCGATTATCAGGCAAATTAACCTGTAGAAGACATTGAACAAACTTATTAAGTATATAAAATCTGTTTATACTTTGTAATATTATTGTTTACTTTTTTACAAACTGTCTATTTATTAAACCAGTTTTCCGATTGACTAGAAACTAGCTGAAAATTTGTCGAGGTCATTTTAAGCTTAGCCCTGTATTATACCATACTTTTACCGAAGATTCTTATGTAGATCATATTCAACCTCCAGAGTTTTTATTCATGTATCTTCGTTGTTCAGGTTTGTTAGAATGTATTCTGTTCTCTTCCAGTTCTTGTGTTTGACTTGAAAAGAGTTAAGTATTGTTTTCAACGTATACCACACGGTAGAAGTATACAATAGTTAGTGATATATGTGATATAACTATATACCTAAATCACGCAAACTATATATGTAGAATTTTTTATTTTCTTTGCTAAATCTAATGGAAATTTACACATCATTTGTGTTTGTTTAGGTACGATCAAATTTTTTTCACCTTCCGTGAATAATACTGTTTCTTCAATAGTCCCACATGGATATGCGAATTTATGTGCCCAACATGAAGGTTTCATCTTAATTAACAGTTTTAATACAAAAAAATTATTCATTTATTCCGCGTCCACCTCCACCTCTGGACTAAATCCTGATCAATCTCATAAACTGTCAACGGTTACTTCTACCACTACTAGTTCTCAATTGAAAATAACCCCAAAAAATCGATCATTTCATCGGTTGCAACGTCTCGCTCAAGAAATTGTAACATTGAATACTAGTTTACCATTGTCCGAAAATGCTAGTGTGTTTATTTGCTGTGAAGAAAATCATTTGTGTTTATTAAAGGTAAATTTTTCCTAACAATGAATCTGAATGGCGTTTCGTTTTTTTAGACTATTAATATAAAATTTGACTGATTGTTGATCAATGAAGGTTATGCATTTATATGTTTTTTTATACATCATCCATCGATATTATTTCTCAATTAATCATTCACGGACATTATAGAACCTGGCATAAATATGTTGTGGCTTGAAGGTTAGCTTACTAGATTTTCAACTAATAAGTCTGAGATTTGAACCTCTTTCCACTAACTTCGATCTTATTAGCTGGATGGTATCACTAAATTTACTGTCTTGACTTAGTGGTCGCATCCGCATTTCGTGATGACTCAGTTGAGCTATACTAGCTGGAAAACATTTTCCTATTTGGTCCTATCTTGCTAAGTAGGTCCGTTAGAGAATGGCAAAACTAGAAGGAACGTATTCATGGTCGGAGGGCTATGTTGTGCTGCTGATTATGCAGGGGTATAGTGTCAGACGAGTATTTTCTTCATGCAATCAACATTCCTATCGATGCTGCCTTACCATAACTTAAGAAAGGTTTTAGAAAATGTCGACCGTAGCAATAGCACACTTTATCTTGCCCCAAGGGTCTCCGCCGGCAGCGGTAAAATTTTTACAGTACGGAGCTACCCGCAATAGGACCGTGTATGGACGGTCCCAAGCAATTGTCCCCCAAATTATGTGGTCACCAACACCATACTAATCCAGTATCCTTCTCAGGTTCTTCAGGAAGAAATATCCCTTCACAGTACGAGAAATCGGGAAGTGACAACCGTTCACACACCTCTGACGGCACTAGAAATAACTAACTCGTGATACCGATCAGCGATCTCAAGCCATAACACAATTACTTATGTTCACTTTGTTTTATTTTTATTTTCAACCAACTAACAACAAAAAACTAGGCACTAATTACTGGACCTCCTGATACTCCATATGCAAATGGATGTTTTGAATTTGACATATACACACCACCAGATTATCCAAATCAGCCGCCTTTAGTTGAATTTTGTACAACAGCGAAAAATACATTCCGTTTTAATCCAAACCTGTATGAAGATGGCAAAGTATGCTTGTCAGTGCTCAATACATGGCATGGATCAAGCGAAGAACGATGGAACCCTCAAACATCAAGTTTATTACAAGTAATTAAATCTTTTCCATACATGTATATTTATGTATTTACTCTTTTAAATAATATTTCTTGTAGTTGCATTGGATATGAGTCATATTCTGATTAATGACGTAAACACACTCATGTAAAATAGATGGAATGTGGTCAACAATGGAATTCAGGACGCGCATTTTATTTATACCTACATCCCAGAGTTGATATTTACTCCGGGACCCTGGTATTCAGTCACATCTAGCTGACAAGTCCTAAGTAGAATGAAACGCGCGAGCTGGATTCGCTGGCATCCACCATCCGTCACTACTTATAAATGTTTATGACATAATAGTGATATTAATGGAATCCACGCAGGATACATAGATGCTAACAAAGCAGACTAATAAAGTACAGTCTTAAATATCAATGAAAAGCTTCAAATAATCAATAAAAATGAATTAAATTCCACTGGTTATTATTTGTTTTTTCAATTTTTTAGACTTCTAGATGTAACCCTCCATCTCCTGTTATCATTGTCATTACTGTTGAAACTGTCACTAAATTCGTTCATTTAATGTAGAGTACTTCTTTTTAATAAGTCATTTCATTATCTGATAGTATACAACATCGTACAAATAATGTATAATTAGCATCGTTGTCTAGAAAATTGTTCTAATCTTGGAGACATTTATATCTTTCTATCAAAGATCATTCGTTTACCTCTATATCATATTTATTGTTGAGTGTTGTTGACGAACTACGTTATGCTTTTATTTTCAGTTCTCAATCTGATAAATATATATCCATCATAATTTCATTATTACACTATAGTATTAGAAGAATGCACCATATAAAATGGGAAAATTGAAAGAAACCGCTTGTAACATGACCAACACTTGGTTATACTCTGGATTTTATCTAATAACGTTTTAAAGCTTCTGAAACAATCACATTATTTGATTATTCCCAAACTAAAATTTATGATAACCTGATCTTTACCAGTTTTATACAACATTTCAACTGACCTTCAGTCACATCTCTGTTACCTACCATATCTAAATAACCTGAACGGTAAATTGATGTAAGTCATCCTAACCTTAGTGGGGTTGAAAAGGCTACAATCACTCTAAAGTGAAGAAGGGCAACAGGGCCTGATGAACTAACCCCTGAAATTTGTAACAATGGTGGTTCAGTTTTAGCAGTTAGGTTAACAAAATTTTAGCTAACATCTAGGAACTGGACATATTCCCAACTGATTGATCTCAATCTCTGATCATCACAGTTTATAAGAGAGGATAAAAATCCTCTTGTGACAATCACAGAGGAATCAGTTTAACTAAGATTTTGTCTAAAATATTAACCTGAATAATACTTAAATGAGTTCATGAAGAGCAAACCTGAGAAGACCAGGTTGGTTTCAGACGTGAACATGGATTTATAGATCAAATATCTACCCTTCGGCGGACTCTTAAACGTTTAAGTACTTTTCGTCGTCCGACTATAGTTGTATTCTTTGACCTTAAGGCGGCATTCGACTCTGTTGGTTGTGAGTTTCTGCGCCCGTTTCTCATTGAAAGGCGTCCGAAAGAAGTACATTAACCTTATGCAGGTTCTGTACTCAAATACTATTGGTTGAGTCAGAGCTTATAGAAAACTGTCATCGGAACTGGTTACTTCAATTAGTGTTCGTCAGGGTTGTCCGTTTTACTCACTTTTATTTAAATTTTTTGTAGGGATGCTTGTAGAGATAAAACTTTTATCATCGTTTGACTTTTCAGATATGGATCTTCTAAAAGGAGATTCACTCGTTAACTTAGAATAAGCAGTAGACATACCTCTATTTAGTGAAGACGCTGACAAAATCCCGAGTTTCCTGACCACTTTAAGTAATAACGGAAGCATGTTTGTGATGGGGTTCTCTTCCTCCAAGTGTAAAATGCTACTTGAGGATTGGTCTGGGATATAACCTTTCACCTTGATTGATTTTAAACTATTGATTTAGATTTATTTGGTATGACTACTGTGAATTTCGTTCTCATTATATTCCATTATTTGACTATTACAATTACTATTATCAGGTATTAGTATCAATTCAATCGTTAATTTTCGTACGTGAACCTTATTTTAATGAACCGGGTTTCGAGTGTACCATGGGAACGCCTAAAGGCATAATTGTCAGTTACAAATATAATGCTCGTATTCGTGTTGCAACTGTTCGTTGGGCTATGATTAATCAATTAAAGGATTTACCAATTGGTTTTGAAGAGGTGAGTAGAATCTTATCATTTTTTGTTTAATCCTATGTATTAAGATTTCTAAAAGAATTAAAAATTCGATGGTTGTGTGTGGTTGAATAGTTGATGCACAGATCAAGCTTAAATTTTATTAGTTGTTTTTCGTCACAAACTCGGTTGAAATACATGTGATTGTCGAAAACTATAGATTGAGAATATTCAGCGATGTGACTTACAATCTATGTGATGATGCAGATATAGTCACTTACTGTCTTCTCTAAGATATTGAGTTTTCAAATTAATTCATTCTTTCTTGAATCTTATCGTATAGTCGTAAATCTTTTCCGCTACCAACAATTCTGTATTTATTTGTTATAATACCTCTTATCTGGCACCTTCTTAGTCTGATGGCTCGTAAAAATACACCAACCACAACCTGGATTTTTTCATCACTAATATACCAATCCGCTTACAAGAAAGCTACTTTACTTGGCCAATGAAATGCCTAGACTAGTGTGGTTAACCTAGAGGATTGACAAGATAATTTAACACCTGTTGGTCCGCTGATCTCCATACCTTCTTCTATCCTCAGTCTTCAGTTCGAACAAGAGAACGTAGCTGGGAAGCTTCCATTATTATAATCCAAGCACACATGTGTTCATATACATGTTTACTGAACATCATACCATAAAATAAAAATCATAATTTATACATAAAAAAAACAAAGGTGAGAGTGAATAGAGCAAATGAATGCCTACAAATTCCCTGGTACGTTCGAGAGTGGGGAGAGTCCGCTGTCCCTCTCCAAATGCTCTCACACGACCACGCGTATATAGCCTCTGCCAGGGAATTCCTATTCATTGCCTTCTCGTGGCGGGGGTGTTGTTTACGAAATTGAGAGGACGGAAAGCGAATGTCCGTCGCTTTAACCGGGTTGGTGGACATGGAGAGTCCACCTAGGGGAGTTGGAAAACCCTGATTACAAACCAATAGTGCACATGGGCTCCAGAATCCTGAAGGAACAAATGGCGTATGAACCAATCATTGGTGATCGGCTATCATGGGACTACATCTCCTTACGATGCTCCACTGCCTTGTGGATCAGAACTTCAGGTTTAGGTTAGAGGCTCCCGGAGTTGCCCCCTAAGAAAACCACGTGGTTCGGTTCGGGCACCCGGACAGTATCACAGCCCTCACACATATCAAATGAGATTTGTGTGGCGCATATGTATTTGGTGCCTCCTTGTACCAATATCTATGTATTGAAATAAATAAATGATAAATAACCGGTTAACAATAATTTAAGAGTAATAAAATGTATAACAATAGTTAACAGATCAAATAACAACTCACAATAAAGTTGAATATCGAAATATAATATTCCAGTTATTTAATAATTATAGAATTACTTCATAAAATAGTCTCGAATGTCACCAGCTTTTTTAGTATTCTTTCTGTTACTGAAACTTCTACCATTCTGTAATTCGTTTCGATAATTTCTATCTTTCTATATTAATATGGTGTAACAACATATATGTTTTAGGTTTTATATTACTTATAACTAGTTGTGTTAAGAACTGTAGTCAACCAGAAAATAGTCGATTTTATATGAAGATAGTAAGTACTTACTGTTAAAGAATTCTCAATTCAAATAAAACAGATGTTCATTTCACTTCTTTCTTTTCAATGAAGTTCCCTACAACTATCAGTTAGTCTCTTGATGATAAATGTTATCTTTAAGTTGTATTTTGGGTTGTTTTTTTCTTAAAAATGGATAAATAATATATCTGTAATATCCCGATGAGTAGAAAAACGAGGGTTTTTTTGACGTTTCATGACTTAGTGTAAGCCACTTCTTCAGAGAATAAATAACCAAACTGAAATTAATCCAAGGTTAAATAGTACAACGGAACAACAAGAATATTATGTGCTCAATCAAAAAACAGGTCTGAACAAATCAATGTCATGTCATTTCGGTGAATGTGATTCATAAGCGACATGTATGTAAATTTGTGTGTATGTATGTGTGCACTGTTAAGGATGAAAAATGTTTGACCTTTATGGTGAGAAATGATAGAGTTTGATTTGTAAGATGATAGTGTGAATTGTAAATAATATCAGACTAGATGGCTAGGATAGATAGTCCAAGTAGGATGTATGGTAAGGCCTTCTTTTCTATTGAGAGCAGTAGGATTAAGGATTATATGGAACGTTTCAGCTACTCTCCTTTCTTTGTAATTGGAAAAACCCTTTTGTAATATTTTGATATTTTTGAAATCGATTTGGTGGTCGTTGAAAATGGTATGAACTGCTATTGTCGATTTAATTAGAAGTCTATACAGTTCTACGGGATCATTTGGTTGCTTTTTTGTGTACCTAGTATGTTCTTTGACACGAGTCAAGATTTTGTGAGATGACTCCCCAATATAGAAGGCATTACAATCGACACAAACTAATTTGTAGACGCAGTTCTGTAGTGACATGGATGGATAGTTTAATGGTTCAGTTTTGAAAACTTCGCTTCAGAATTTCAAGTTCATTTTTGATTCGTAATTCAGTTTGATGATTTCCGTAATGTATGTCCTATGCACTTCCATCGTCTTTTCCTAACCTCCTTTTCAGATAGAAGCTGGCTTGTTCTCTCCCACAGTAGGAAGTTACTGATGGTATCCGGTCAACGGACATTTAGTATCTTGTGTAGACAATTGTTTGTAAATACTTGTATATTTTTGATGATGGTTGTGGTAGTTCTCGAAGCTTCAGCTCTGTACAGTAGAACTGTCTTGACGTTTGTATTGAAGATTCTGACTTTGATGTTGACTGATAGTTGTTTTTAGTTCCTTGCTTTACCAATCCTTGCATTTACGTCTGAATCAGACCCTCCTTGTTAATCGATAATGCTTCCCAGGTACCTGAAGGTTTGAAACTCGTCCAGAGCTTCTCCATCAACTGTTTTCTACTAGTAATGATCAATTGCTTTAGCCATCATCAGGGAAATCACCTACATAGTTTAATTTCTGTACACTCATTGTAATATAACATTGATTTTTATTGAATGTACGTCTTTTTCCATCCTGTAGGTAGTTTTAAAACATTTTCTAAATCGACGTTCATTTATTATTACTCAAGTTGAACAATGGATATTTGAAATGCGTAATCATGCACAATTTAAGAGCGTAGAAATCTATGTCAAAGAGCTTGAAGTGAGTTAATAACTTGATCATTATTTGTCTTAAATTAGAATGAATACTTCATCACTTACATCTTTTATTGTTTTGGTGTGTTTTCTTTTCTTGAAAAAAAAAATGTGAAATTCATTATATATGGTCAATAAATTTGATCTATAGGAAGTTATTTCGGTGTTGCATTGGTCCATCACTATTAGTAAAAGGAATATGGAACTTAGATAACTGTTCTTTCGTCAAATTTTAGTGAACCTTTTTCGAACAGTTATTTTAGGTTACTTTTCTGGCTAACTACTAGATTCAGGACACACGTTTATTCCTATTTGGAACTCGTCAACTGGATGGACCTGGTCTCTGGACTCAGTAGCTAAATGAATAATGTGTTAGAGATTTGAAGTAAAATGCACTAGGTTCGATTCCTGGCTCGAAGGTCAGCACTAGTATTCAGGTACATCCATCTGATGAGCCTCAAATAGGACAAAGCGTCCGTCTTGAATTCCATTGCTAGCCACTGTCAAAACTTAGCTTAAGAATGCCTATGCCCTAATAGTTATATTGAAACAATCCGTTGAGGATGCGAATTCGCCAAAAGATATTGGTGATAATTCAGTCCTTAACATCAAAGACTGTAAAATTCGAACCCTTAAAAATGAATGAACGCAAAATCTGTATAAACAAAAGTATTCCGCAACAGAAATAAAGAAACCTGTTAAGCTTTGGTGGTTTCAAGAAATTTATTGGTTTTCCATGTCTTACTACCGGTCCTATGCTTCCACAAGGGGAAACAGGCATAAGTAATAATTTATTGATGTTGGTAAATTATCATGACTAGATATGTCAGTCAGTCAGCCAGTAACAACGTAGAACTTTGTACGTACGTACATCAGTTCGAGTTGCCATACCACATTAGCACAGAGATGCAGTTATCGATTCAAATCCCGTAGTGGTAGAGGTAGTAGGAGTATAAGCAGTAATCGGGAAGATTAGTGTTTGGAGATTTTATTTAAAGAGTATAATACAGTGAAATAAATTTGCAAAGAGAAAAAAAAGAGACCAGATGACTAGATACGTGATTTATCAGGAATATTTTGCAATTGTTTCAAAAAACTAAGCAGAATGTTCCCCTCACTGCTGATACTGTGATGTGTGCTATTTATATTGACATAATTAGTATATAACGCTAGTCAGGAATAGAATGTCTAGCAGCAGAGGATCGAGAAGGAAAGAACGAGAACAGTAAGCAATTTGTATGGAACAGTGAAATTCAGGACGATTGATTGACATTTTGCAAATGAAGTATCTACTGTATGATTCTTAGATTTTACTAAGATGTTCTATAATTCTGTGTTCAAATACATTCGATTGTCCTCATTTATGTTCTCGTTCACTACAATACCATAACTTGTTCAGTAATAATAAACAGTTATTTTATTTAATATAACTATATAGCCCTTAATGTGGAATATTTAACGATTATTATTATTTTTTATTCATACAAAGGATTCTTTACCCATCTTGAAAACGGAACTTAATCGTCTAGAAGAACGTCTTACTGATTGGAATGAAAAACATAGTCAAATGTAATATATCTCAATGAAAAGGTAATACCAGAGTATATATGTATGTATAAATTATATATATTTGAAATACAATAATTATGATTACTGACTTGTTTATTATTTCTTACTTTCCAATCTTCATTGTACACATTGATTCTTATAAATTAGCTTACACTTTCTCGTTTCTTTTCTTTTAATGTATGTAAATCATGCACATAAAGATGGGTAACTATAAGCAAACAATTATTTTTCAATGTTTAGCATTATTATTATTATTAATGGTGGTAGTAGTGCTAGTAGTAATAGTAGTCGTAGTAGTATTGTGAAGATATCTATTTTCTAAACGGCTTTTTTTAAAACTTTGATTCATTTATTAATTTTGCCTAATATTCAATCCTGTTAGTGAAATGTATATCTAGTGTGATGTTTTGTCTTTTAATTTTGTGCATCTTTAATTTCTCAGTTTATTTATATTCTCATTTGATTCTTTTATGAAAATGACAAATTTACTGTTTATCCGGGTATGTTTACGATTGTATAACAGTTATGTATTTGCTTTTACTGTTATACTTTATTTTCTTGAAAGGATTCTACGATCAGTAGCTGACATAAATTAAATGTTTTTTTCACTGGTGTAAGCTTTTGTCTATGGGATCAGTGTTATTTAATTAGATGGTGGGGAGAATCCGCTTTCCCTCTCGAAATGTTTTTACATAGCTACGCTTATACAGTCCACTGCCTTCTCGTGATGGGGGTGGTGTTTAAGAAATTTAGAGGTTGAAAAGCCAATCTCAGGTGCTTTAACCGGATCGGTGGATACGGAGAATCCAACTAGAGGAGTTGGAAAACCCTGATTCCAGACGAATGGTGCACATGGGCTCCAGGGTCCTAAAGTAACCAATCGCTACCAACCGGCTATTAGTTACGGTTATTTTACTTTCTACTTCTGTAGGGCAGCATTTTTGAATAGAAATATTGAACAATTTAGTGTGATTAATTTGAAAGGTATCAGGTGTGTTATAGAGATCCTGGATATGTTAGTCATATATTAGTAATACATTGTTAAAGTGTCAGGGTTCCAATCCACATCCTTAATTTGTGGTAGCTGAAATACGATTAGGACCCGATTTTATGCTATGCCTTGTTAAAGATACCGTCAAGTACGAAATTCCAGTCGATTATCTTCAATAAGTTGTGTAGACCATAGCCTCGGAAGAAAGTTAAAAGTTGTTTACTTTGTGAGCCTCTGTGGTCCCATCAGCATATTTTCGAGCTTTTTCAAGGTGGGGTGTATGGCCATCCTTGAGCCTTAGTGTTCCTTGCGACCTACCACTGGAGCCTTTCGGATGAAACGAGTCTTAATGTTATCCTGAATTCTCAGTCTGAGTGGTTCTAAACATTTTATGAAAAGGTTTACCTGCAGTCCGATGAGTTTTGCTAGTGTTCTGCAATCAGGTAACTAAATTAGAACACCTATGTGATCATATCATAAACATCTCAAACATAGTTTCCAGGGATTTATTGTCCACTGCCTCAGTTCCAAAATGCTCGATTTCGAATTCGCGAAACTGAATAGATTTTTTAGGCGCTATCCTTAGAATGTTTCATTATGTTGTTTATGTGACTTTAGATACATGTCTAAATAAAGAGATTTACTGAAGGCTTACCTATCTTCAAACGCTTCCGACTTTATGTGAAGACTGTGAACCAGGTTTCTTTGTTTTTATTAATTGTGTTGAGTTTTTTCCAAGTATAAAATGGGACTGATGGTGGCTTACTGATAGCACAAAAGGGAAGAATAATTTGAAGAAATCTACCATTGACAATAAGAAATAAACAAGATCGATCAAACTATCATATTCCTTTGTAAAAAAATATGCAACTGCGAAGGTATGACAATTAGAAGTATTTGAATTATTGTACGAACTGAGGATTCCTGAAATACCGCAATTTATAGCAAATAGAACTAGATGAGCATGTATTTAGAACTCGAAATCAGGTATAAAAGAATCATCAGTTTATACAAACACCAAAACTTAAATTAGAATGCAGGTTTCTGTAATCGACTGAATGTTTTCTCAGTAGGTTCTATACATGTCTGTCAGACCGTGTATTGAATGAGGACTCTGTATTATCTAGGGTTTACGCATTAGAATTCACAAGATTGGGACATACTCACCTGGCTCCTGGAATTCTCTATGAACGCATGTGGTTTTTGTACTGTAATCACTGATATCTAGAATTTGAACAGTAGATTTTCCAGCACTATCCTCCTCTACGAAATAAGGTGGGGTCCTTATGTCGCAATTTGCATTATCTTCTCATATCATACACTTTGATAATTGTATGTGGGTATTTGGAGATATACATCAACATATAATGTGGAGCATTCCATCATGTGAATTTGACCTGCACTGCAAATATGATACACATTTCTTTTGCTTTTCACGATAGGTTACACTGTTCCAGTTATTGGATAAGTTTGTATTGATATGTGTAAATAACGTAGGTGATTCATTTAGGCCTAATCCACCTACAACACTCAAATGGAAAATATGCATCTCTTTCATGCCTATTAATATAATTTCGATTTGGATTTTCTCCCTGTTCAAACTTCATATCTGGGAAAACTGGTTCTCTGACAGTTTCCAGAATGCTTGCTATCCCCTCTGACTCATCATACTACTGACTTAAAATCCTACTCGACATAGATTGGTTGTGATAATATCCGACATCTGGTACAATAACATCAGAAATTTGGCTAGAATTAGACTCATTCAGAACACATTTGTCACATTCATAAGGAACATCACTAGGGATAGGTCCATTGTGAAGGCGAATAACATCTGTTACGATACCATAAGGACTGTAATCAGATCTCAACTCATTTAGAACTTATTCCTCACATTTAATTGAGATTTCACTAGAAATAAATGGATCATTAGGACAAACGGCATCTGATAAAATAACGTCAGAGTTCTGATTTGGTGCACTCTGTTTATGTTCGTCATATAATTTCATTAGGAATACATCAACAATGAGAACAACGCATATATGGTAAAATAATATGATTCATTTTAAGCACTCAACTTCATAGAATTGGAATTACAAAGTTTAGCTGTGCTTGCATCGAAATGAATAGTAGTATTACAAACTTATTGAATGTGTTCACATTTAGCATTACGAAATACACATGAATTGCATGAGTGAAATTCGCCACAGAACAAACATTTACCAAAATTGCACTCACCTCCATAACCTGCAGAACTAACGAAACAAAATTTATTCTAGTAGACCGGATTACGTTCTTCTGTACAGTGTACGAAACTTTTTTAAAATATTCGTATTAAATTATATCAAAACATAAACTCTGCCCAATTTAAACTGCTCTATTTTTAAAAAGAGAAATTGTTTCAAAGATACCTTAAACGGTACAGCCTGTGTTATGTAGTCAAGGGTTTCTCTAACACAAAAAATAGCGTGCTAAACAACAAAAGAGTTGAATATCTGAGAATCAGTAAAAATATCCCAAACAAGATAACACAAGATATCCATCTGCAGGGATTCCAGCAATCTTTCCAACAGACAGTCGAATGTTAATATCTACATACTAAACCACGCCGTCACCCTGAGCTTAGTCAAACACGGCCTTATTGTCAATAGTCTGTCTAAATGCAACAGAAAAGATAGGTAACTAGAAAGTAAGTATTTAATCAACATCATCGGACGAGGTATACAGAAGGACACAAAATTTAATTAAAAGTGATCTGAATAAAGGTCATAACACATGACAGGGAGAAGAAACTAATAAATGACAGTGCTGTGGAGTCATTTCAGTGTTTTCGTCCCGTACCATATATTAAATGGGTCTTGTAATATTGAATTAATCAAAATCGAAGAATTTCTAATTAACCTAACACTGTTTGCTAACGATAACTCGAACGCGTAAATGGACGCTATTTTTGGCAAAATTATTGCGTGGTGCTAAACTTAGATACAGTAGATGTGGATCGTAACAATCTACTTTTCTCTTTAATGATGTAAAAGTACGGAGGAATAAATACGATTCACATTAACTATTGACTGACGAAGCTTCCCATCACTTTATCTTTCATAAAATACATCTGCTCTTAGCCATGTCAGCTAGACAATGAACCTTGATATAATGGTTACATTGAATATTTTGACAGAGCATGTTGAACGGCTTTTATTTATTGATTGTACGTGCATGATATTTGTGTTCCAAGTTCTACATGTTTAGAAGTATCATTTATTAGGAACGAAGCAAAGTTGTGTGCTAAAATGTGTGTAGTGTGATTTTTAGATTAGCGTGATGTGGCTTTATTAGATTTCTCTGTTTGAGGGTCCATGTAATGTAACGAAAACATTTATGGTCAGCATACGCTTGTCATATTGAGTTTGATATATCATTACTCGTGTCCGAGTCTCTTCTTGTGAAATAAACTAGAAGCTAATGAAATCAAACGAGGATGATTGAATAATTGAAGCCAGATCATCATTGAAAACCTGAAGTTCTAGTGGGATACTGTGACCAGTGGAGTTCAACCGGGTCTGTTGAGAGATAGTAGCTCATTGAAGACAGTGGCGCAATTCCGAGGATTGGTTGAAGCTAGACATTGATACTGCTGGATGCCGGTCCAAGGGTTTTGAAGTCAGGCGTTCGGTCGCGAAAACGACAGTTCTCGGTTCGAGTCCCACATGCGGGTTCGTGGCCGTGAACTACGGAGGACTCTAATATCAAGACGAAACAGCCGTCCAGTGCCTCCAGGTTTTCAACGGTGGTCTAGCTTTACTCGATCCAACTAATCGTACAACTAATAAAATTACTACAATCTCTGGAAAAGCTCTTTCTGAAAATAGTTTAGTAGAAAGTTCTATTTAGGCATTATATAGCGCTATCACAGAGTATAAACTTTGAGCTCAGAAGTTGTCAAACAAGAAGTGTTCCATTTACTTATCAACTCGTAACACATTGCAGGTACTTAAAACCTTCATACAGTAGTATTTCATGTAAAATTTCATAGCTGGCATCGATGAGTAATACGTACGATGATATTTCAGCATCTCATGAGAACTGTGAAAAATTCCCAAATAGCAGTTTGAAGCCAAGTGATTTTATTTAGAAGCACTCATCAAATACGACATCTTTTTATCTCTAATAAGCCAGCTTGAACAAATGAAAAATACATACATTAGAAAGTTTTGCGTTCCTGTTGGTATCAGTGGGCAAACCATGCAAAACATAAATGTTCATCTGAGTATACATGACGTTCTGTATGAAACATTTTAATCTTAAAGAAGTTTTTCCAGCCAAAAACCTTTCCGTAAAAATAAGGCACGAATGCTACAGAAGTGTCGTAGCATTAGAGATGAAAACTGCAAAGGGAAAAAGTACGTAAACGTTTTACACATAATGGCTGTTTGTGTCACCTGAGAACCTTGCAATTCTGCAGGACGTGATGATTATTAAAGGTTGTCAAACTGTGTCAAACTCTACAGTCAGTCGTTGGGTTTTAGTTATTGCTGTGGAATGGAAAATCCAGCGGCGAAAAACCTGTCTGGATGTCTTCCTTCATCCTGTTTATATCGTTATTGTACTTCGCTTCGTTCTT